CTCTGTAGTCAGATGGCATGATTGGAGGGAAACTATAAGCTAAATGGAATCACTTGACTGGAACACTGCGGCCTCTGTAAACGTCAGACTTCATCTCGCTGCACCTACACTGGACTCATACAGAGAACATACAGTTTACTCACAAACACGCACACACTTTGCCTCTTGGATATCTGCAGTCACATTTTAATTGGTTTTTCTGGAGTGATGTGAGGTCCACAAACATTAACATTCCTCCCGGTAAATTTACAGTCTCTTCCAATGCACATAAACACACTCATAAACACTCTTACACAAACACCAATACACATGAATACACAAGTATGTGTGTCAACATACTGGCCTATCCCCCAGACATACACATGCTGAGTCCTACTACTGTAGCCAGAGTTTTTTTGGCAGCATTTGCCAAGATCCTGTAAACAGTAGTGTGTTCTCACTTAAAGACCTACAGCGCAGGATCTGCTCTGCTTTCACTAAAGGATGACTGAAATGCGCAAACATGCATGCACACACATACAAACACATCCTGAGGCACATTGACACACTCTGCCTTATCTGCATCGTCCAGCTTAGCTTACATTCCACTTAGACAAAGACAAAGCATCTTAGGACTGTCCGTGTACATGCACTGAACTGCGGCATGTCTTTAGCTTAACCTCTGTGTTTGGGTTGCACTGCTTTCTGTCCTGGGTCACTTGTGGCTTAACAGGCTTGATTTACTGTAAATAATAAGCACAAGTAAGGGATTTCCTAAATAATTGCCCATACCTGAGAGCAAATGTTACACTAGCTTGATTTAGCTGCATAGTGGATGCTACACAGACTCTATCCTCCCCGTTGTGAGACCATAGTCCAAGTGAATCTGTGCAGCTGTGTCAGTTCTCATGGCTGCTCTAACCACCTTTAATGTAATTTACCTGCTGCTTTTTTTCCCCTCTGAATCTCAAAGCACTTTAAAATGGATGCAGGCAACTTTTTTTATTTAATCAATCACATTTGTTTTGATGTTTTGGCTGCCAAAGCGTTCAGCTGTATTTGGCAGTCTCTTTGGCCTTTTCCCTTTCTAAAAACCTCTCTGTCCGTAGAAACAGACATACTAGTCAAACAGAATGTTCCTACTACATTTTACAGACTTGTCAGCTGCAAGCAGGTGGCTGGTGTTGATTTCCAGTTCAGTTAAATATTTGCTGTTTAATGCTTTTCATGATTATCCATCTTCTTCAGACACAAGCGAGACGAATGAAAAGTATGTCGAACCGTCTGAACCCCAAAACCGGCGGGCAAGTTTAAAGGGCCTGCTATCTTTAAAAGAAATGCAAAAATGACACCATTTATTAAAGCAGAAACTGTAAAAACACAAAGCATTGGGTGTTACCAGTACCTGTATTGGTAGAGGGCACTTGGAAAAGTGTTGCCTGTATTGATTCCGGATTGGTTCAGTGTTTGTACAAAAACTAATCAAAGAGATTTAACTTCACTGTTTTTCATTGGTAATAATTTGCATCATTGTAGATGTGTTGCATGGAAGATCTTTTTATTTCAGTGGCTGTGCTGGTTTCATAGAGCTGCAGGACTTTCATTTTGCATTGAAAAATGAGCCCATATTGAGTAAAAAAATGGGGCAATTGTGACCAAAAAAATCCCAGAAACTCTGGGGTTCAGAGGGTTAAAGTGAGCTGTGTGGACTTGCATGCTGTATATTACCATTAGTGCTATGAGACCCCACACTGCCCTCTGCTGACACCTATCCTTTACCCACCTCCCCTCTCTCTCCTCTCTGCTCTATAGTAATACATCCTCCCGTTCACAGCTTCACTCCCTTCCTTATACAAACAACTCTTGCAAGGGCCTCATTAAAACATCCTAGCCTCAAAGTTGTAAAGGGAAAAGTAGCACACTGGTTCTCACCAATGTGCCTTCTCACTCTAAAAATGGCAACACACACAATCACAGTTGTGTAAAGGCTGCCTGAGCAGACTGCCGTGGCTCAGTAGCACAATAAAGAGACGGTGGCGGTACACTAAATCCCACTGCTCCCACTTGTTATTCCAATTGACCCATTGACCCGTATAACACTGCTGGTTCTCTATTGTTAGATTTGAAAATACAATCAGTCATTGGGAAACGGCAGGAACATCAGGCAAGTTTACACTGTTAGCAGTTATAAAATCAGATGCCTCAAAGAACAGAATCGTCACGTTGCTGTGGTAAACATCTTTATTTGATGTGACAAGGCATGCTACAGCTATTCAGACAGAAACATACTATGAAGACAAGTATGTTGTAAAGCAAATCTTGGTGTTTTGCTTCAGTGTTGGAGGAAAACTGGTTTGAGGATTGGATACGGCATTGCTGTTGCATCCTAGAAAAACACAGACAGGCCTGTCTGCAAGAGGCCGGTCAGGAGTGAATGGCCATCTTTGTGAGTGTTCGTAATTACTTGTTCACAGGCATGATTGCATTACTGTCCAGTTTTCCACTCATCGCTGATCAAGCTCTGGGCAGCATCAAGAGTGGAAGAGAGGAATGCACTGATGCAAAAGCTTTCGATGGAAGAGCTGCTGATTGTCTAGCTGCAGTAGGCTTTCAAACTTTGCCTCGCCGTGTGAACTAAAAGCTCAATTAGTGTCTAAAGAGATGTGAAATATGGTTTTTAAGTTGTCGTATTTGCAATTTTCAAAGCCCCTCCCCCCCAACCTGAGAGATGTTTCATCTTCGAGTGTCACCTGTTCTGCCAGCCAGGTCGCGTCCCTACCTGAGGGGTAGTCCCCATCTGGGCTGGGCCCCGGTCACATGCTCGCCCACAGCTCCTGTTTCCTGGTCCTGCCATCTGATTCCTCTCACCTGCTACTTTGTGAGCCAACACCCTCTGTGTCTCTCTCTGGTTTTGCCCTCCTGCTGTATTTATCTGCCCCCCTCCCCCTCCACCACCATTTCCCTCACCATCAGCTGGAGGACTCCAGCCTTCCAGTCAAATTCTGCGGTATTTTGAATATTGGGAAAGCACTGACAAGAACAGTCTTGCATGACTGGCAAAACCTGAACAGATTCTGGGAAAAAATGCCTTGCTGCTGTATCCACCTCACACATCCCTCCCATCCAAGCACAATACACATAACTAGTTAAGAGCAGGAAATGTCTGTCATCGAGGAACTGCAGCTTTCTTTTCTTTGGCAGCGTAATTGTAGAGCTGTCTCCCAGCATGTTGCATCGAGTGTGTGTTTTTACACTTTGTCACACAGAATCCTGACAATACACATCAAAGAGGGTTTTGTTTTATCTGATTCTACCATATGTTTACGCAACAGTTTCGAGACACGGGTGCAACAGCTTTTTTACAGCTTTAACCACGGCAGAGACGGAGGAGTTTAGAAATTGTCTGGCTTTTTCGGTTTTGGATATTAATTTGTGGTAATTGACACACAAAGGCTTTTTTCAGGAGAAGATTTTGCTGACAGTCTGAGGTTTAATTTGAATTAAGGTTTAGTCTCCAAGCCTGCAGACATCGGTGCATCCCTGAATAATGAGTTTATACTCATTTCTACCCGAGAAATCTCTAGTCGGCAAGTTCGTCTAGAGTCTTCCTCCCTTGCAGCGTCTGAGAAATCTGCCTTTTGACAGGGTGCACAGTGGCTCCTCTGTGGACTGCAGAACCAGGGACTGATTGAGGGGTTAATAACTGCATAGTTTTGGCTTGTTCCTCGTGCTGTTCCTCGCCAGCCTGTCTTGTCTGTCCATCTGAACGGCAGATGACACACAGACACACACAGTGCGGCTGGCGGAGGAATGTTTCTGAATGGTGTCCTGTCCAACAACCAGGCTCTTGTGAAAGCACTTGGCATGGCCACAGCCGCAGCACTCTGCTCAGCTCTCCAAACGAAAGCCACTTTGTTTGGCTGGCGTTGCCATGGCGAGGAGGATTTTTTTTTTTTTGGGAATATAAGGATGGAATGTTTTTAAAACCAGTTCTGGAGACGCGCCTCTGTTGAATATACAGGATGTTTTGTGTGTCCACTTTGCAGTTATTGTCAAGGCAGAGAGGAATTTCCTCAACATTTAGGGAACTGACGCACTGTGTAGGATGTTTGACCAAAACAATTAGTCGATTAATCTATTAGTGGATTGTTGGGATCATTTATTCATCTTGTATGTTTTTATTCATGCAGAAACTCAAATCATGTGATGGTGTACTGCTTTTCTTTCTTTCATTTATGTCTCTGTGAAATCATTATCCTTCTGTTTTGGACAGTTGGTCACAAGAAACAAAATATCAGAACACATAATCTTTAATTTTGGGAACTTTTTATGCCCATGTTTTCTATTTTACATTTTTTATGACACTGTTGATAGAAAAGGAAATAATCCATGGAATAATCAAAAATGAAATTAGTAAATAATTGTGTGTGGCTACTTGATGGTTGATCAGTTTTTAAGGGCTGCAACTAACAATTATTTTTCTTAATTTAAGTTGTTTAGTCTATAAAATGTCAAAAACTTTTTAATAGTGTTTCCCAAAGTGCAAGATATCGTCATCAGTTGTCTCATTTTGACCACAACCTGAAGACATTCAGTTTACTGTCACAGAGGAGTAAAGAAACCAGAGAATGTTTAAATTTAAGTTTGTTTCTTAAAATAGAAAAGAAAAAAAAAAGAATCAATTATGAAAGTACTTGGAAATTAGCCGACAGGTAATTTATTAACTCTAGAGATGAGATGACAGTATGTACACTTTTGGTCCAAAAATGCCTGAAATTTAGCTGAAAGAATTAGTCAATGGAAAGAAACTGTTAGCATCTATTTTGGTAATTGATTTCTTGTTTTTCCAGCAAGTGTTCGACATTCTCAGGCTCCACCTTTTCAAATGTGATGGTCTGCTGATTTTGACTTGCTGTACATTTTAATAAAGTGAATAGTGAAGTGTTGAAGTGAGACTTGAAATGAGTACCCAAGGAGTATTTCATGTTTTTCATTAACGTGCTATCCTCGTGTCTCCACAGCCTTTTTTCAGACTACTGAACCTACGGAAGCTCGGCCTGAGTGACAATGAGATCCACAGACTCCCTCCTGAGGTGGCCAACTTCATGCACCTGGTGGAATTGGACATCTCCAGAAACGGTACACAAATACAAATTCCCTGTGAACTTTAGTTTCTCTACCACCTATGCTTGCAAGACTCCCCTGTAATCCACAGTTGCTTTGTTTGCTTAAAAATAATCTTCCACGCCTGCCTAAAACACCCCCCAATGGTGACTCTACATGCTCTAGATATTTTACTACCTATGTTTTTGTTTTGTTTCCATACTTGTCTTCTACCTCCATTTTGTAAACACACCTGGCAGTTCAGCCCAGTTCACCTGGAAAGTCCCTGAATTTTTGTCACGTAGATGATTCACTCATGGCTTCATGGTTGAGCTTTTTAAGAATCTGGGGAAAGCACAGTTTGTTTTTGGCAAATCTTTAAATGACACTTTTGGAAGAAAGTGACTTTGATGAAATATTGTGATTTTAAGCTCAGATCTGGTCAATTTTTTGGACAAAATTGAAAAGTTCAAGGACCATAGGAAGGTTTGAAACACAATGATTGTCTCTGTGTTTGCAGTTTCTGACTCTGATAAATGGTATAATTTTGATAATTATTGAAACGATGACTTGCCTTTCGAACCCCCGCGGCAGGTTTTGTGGTTCAGAGGGTTAAGCAGTAAGAGCATTGCCAAATCATTTGGGGAATCAACACTCTAGCAGCAGTCTTTGCATATTAGCAGGCCATCTTTGCTAGATTATCCAATCCACCTCCAGGCACAACAGACATTCATGCACCAATCTCTGTGCCCTTGAAATATGTCTAAACGACAAGCAAAGAAATGAATTCGACTCCCTAAAGAAGCTGAAAATAACTGCAGATTCGGCCCTCGGTCATACATGTTGCAGAGCGGAAAGATGAAATTCCAGCCAGGCCTGCTATATTGTTTTCTGCTGTAACCTGCACAAATACCTTGCCCTTTCAGCGTCCTTGCATGCTGCACACAAACACAGCTATAGCGGCAGGATGGGCCTCGATGGTGGATACGAGACATCTGCTCTGCTACACAGTGCATCAAGTGCTGTGGGAGCAGTGTGCAGTGGCCTGTAAGGGCCTTTCCCATCTGTCTGCCTGTCTGCCTCCCTGCTCCTGCTGCAGGACAGCGCTGAGCCAGATCAGTGTGATGGGCTGCTTTGCTCAGTAGGGATTTCTTAACATGCACCTGCAGCATGCACAAGTGGAAGTTCGTTTCCTGATCAGGCCATTGGGTCATATTTTTCCCGTGCTTTTTTTTTTTTTTTTAACACCAGATGAAGCAGGCAAAAGTTGAGCTACCGTCTATGCTATTTGTAACTGTGCAAACTATTTTATTATCTTTTTTAATGTGTGAAGTTGCATTCATCTACCTGTAATCCAGAGAGTGATTGGTGTTTTTGGAAAGCACTACTTTTAGTTGGGTTCCAATGTACTCTGAGAATGCCAAATAATGCATGTAGGAAAAATATGTCAATTTAAGACTAATGCAAAAATGTTGCTTCCATTTTTATTTTGCGTTCCAGTACAGCACGTTTCTTAAATCCATTCTATCTATTTTACAAACTGGATGAGACAGCTACCACTTTGTTTAATGTATTTATAGTTTTATCAGTCTACAGTCAATGTTTCCTTCTTTATTATTTATGCATTTTACCACACATGGGCAATAAAATGCTTTTATATACAGATGCGGGGGTCAAGTGCACTGAACTTAGATGGAATTGCAGTTTTACTTGATGGGAGAAAAAGACTTTGACCTCCATAGTACAACTTTCTGCTCATTTTTCCTTTTTCTTTTCTCTGACTTCTCTGCTCTTATCCATCTGGTTGTGATTAAAAGGAACTTAAAATGATTTGCTCTATAGAATACAACCCCCCCACACACTCTACATCTGTGTCCATGGTGCTGACTTCTGCCCTCTCCCCATCCTTTCCTTTCTCCTGCAGACATTCCTGAGATCCCAGAGAGCATTAAGTTTTGCAAGGCCTTGGAGATCGCAGACTTCAGCGGAAACCCCCTCTCCAGGTGAGTGGATTGTAACAGCCCATCACTATTCATCATCACTGTGAGGGGGAAAAAAAAGATATATACCGTGCCTTTCTAGAAACAGTAAGCAGAGTGGGGGTCTGTGCTGCTTTTACACATGAAACAACGCATGATAAGTGACATTTGTTTGCTCCAATTACTTTGATAAATGTGCACTGACTTGTAATGTGCGTGTGTGGGTCTGTATATACAGTACGTAATGTGTGAAGCTTGAAATAGTTTTATTCAAGAAAAGATTACGCACAGCACATGAGCATATACACGGTTTGTGTGACTTTGTTGCTCTCTGACCGAACACGGCTCTGTTTAAAATGCACAATAACCTCATCAGGATACCAGTTAATTCCAGTTTTTCCTATACAAAGCCACTGTTGCACCCCCACTACGTTGATCTGTCACCTTTAACTCCCTGCTATAGAGGAGCGATGGAACAACTGGCTGAAGCTTTGATGCTGAATACTTCACCAGATGGGAATATCTAGCGGTCCAGTAGTCTGCGTGTGAGTTGAATGATCCCATGCAGTGCGAAACAAAAGCCTAAGAGACTCCACTTTCCCCCCCTCCTGTCTTTCTGCCTCAGATTGCCGGATGGTTTTACTCAGCTCCGAGCGCTGGCTCACTTGGCACTCAACGACGTGTCATTACAGACGTTACCCGGCGACATCGGAAAGTATGTACACATTCACAAAGGCTCATAGTAGAAAATGTGATGGAGTGTTATTTTTGGTATTTTTCTTGGAAACTGTGTTTTCCCCTCCAGTAGTTTCAAAAACCGTTTCTAATTTCATATTTTCATTATGTAACAGATTTATTTTAAGCAATAATGTCTGATGCTAATCATCACAATTTTGAAACTCTGCTCCTAAACAGTTGTTCATGAGCTGAAATAATAATTTATCTATATACATCCATTTAGATTAACCCTCTTAATCCCAAAGCTTGCTGGCAGGTTTGAAAGGCTTGATACCTTTAAAAAAAACATCACCAAAATTACACAATTTGTCATAGAAAGAAAGTGTAGAAGCAAAAAGAATTGTCCGTTTTTGAACTTTCAGCTGGTCTTTGAACTACTTATTTGTGCCATATGATGTAGTTGGAAAAATTAACCAAATGTAAGCCTAAAATCATGATATTTAATCAAAATCACTTCATTCTACGTCTTTTTTAAAGATCAGTCAAAAATAAACCCTTTGCACTAACCGCATTCCTTCAAAAACAAAAAGCTTCTAAATGCAAGCCATGAGTGACTCAGCTGCAACCAACAGTCACGTGACAAAAATTGAGGGACTTTTAGGCTAAGCTGGACTGAATTGCACTGAACTACTTGGAGAAATTCAACTTTTGTCTTTCTTTTTTTTTTATGATTTATGGCATTAAAACTTTGTCATACTGCAGCAAAAAAAAAAAAAACACCCAGAAACTCTTTGGAGTTCAGAGGGTTAATCAAAAATACTAAAGTCTGTCAGTGTTAGCTTTAAAATGTGATATTTTTTATTCAATTATTGTCTTTAGGATGTCATCAGCTGGTTAGATTAAACATCTGTAAAAAGCAAAAAACGTGAAAGGCCTCTTGCACAATTCTGCAATTCTTTAAGATGAAGATAAAAAAAAAAAAAAGACAATAGATTCGTTTATAATCAGTATAAATGTTACCTGCAGCGTTGAATGAATTCTACTGCTTGAGAAACAGCCTAGATTCTATTTTGTTATCAAAATTGTTAATGCTGCCTATCAATCAGTAACTGTTTGCTGTTGTCTGACTGAAGGCCTCAGTTAGATCCTTGATATTTAGAAGACTGAGCAGGTTTTCAAGGAGTGTAATTCTGTTGCCCAGTGGGCTCCCAGGCAGCTGGTCTCTGGGCTCTGGGCCACTGCTGTGCTCAGACAGATGGAGGAGCCCCTCACCATGCCAGGCAGCCCAGACGAACAGACCTGCCATCTGACTAACCAACCTGCCTCTCCTCTCCTCTCCCTGCCTCCCCCATCCTCTCCTGCCAACTCCTACTCCTCGTTTTCTTCTTCTTGCCTCCTTTTCTCTGCTGCTCCTCCTTTTGTAGTCTGGCCAACCTGGTGACGTTGGAGCTCAGGGAGAACCTGTTGAAGTCTCTGCCCACGTAAGTGTCGCCTCTGCTCAGTGTGCACGTGCCGGGTCCCTTTGTTTTCTAATCCTCCATCATCTTCAGAACAATTGGCATCAAGAACTTTGTTATACTCATTATGAAAACGCACATTCTTTGAGTTGAACTTTGTCACCTACAAGTGCAATAGTTTTGTGGAAGAACATGACACAAACCTGTAGTTACGTGTTGCAGCATAAGTTTAAAGACATTCTTTACATATGTCCACACATGTGAATGAACGGTATGTTGCTGCCCCATGCAAAGCTGTACTCATTGTTCTTTCGGGTCGCATATTTGTGTGACTTAACCACTTGTGTCATGCTGTATGCAGGTCGCTCTCTTTCCTGGTGAAACTGGAACAGCTGGACTTGGGCAGCAATGAACTGGAAGTTTTGGTAAGTCAACATCCTTACATCGCTTTTAATCATACAATAAACAGTAGATAAGACATTGTGCTATTGATTGCTCAAACAACACCCTTGCTTGTGACTTAAAACAATATATTACATGTTTGCGCAGCTAGTGCAGCACACACTCGGAGTGACACGTATCACAAATGTCCTTCTCACATTCCCACCTCAGTAATTATGATCCGAACCACATGTTTACCTCACCAAACACAGCAGAGGCGGTGTGTCAGAACTGAGGCCCTGCCTGCACTGTACCGCAGAGCGAGCGCTGCTTTTAGCCTGGGAACGCCCACCTGTCTCAATAGGACAGGGTAAACAATGCCTCAGGACCTGACAAAGGGCGGAGGCTGAGCAAACAGTTGACATCATGATGAAACCTTGCTTGCATGTCTGTCACTGCTCCGCTGACATTTGTCCTCAATCTCATTTACACGTCATTGCCTTAAATTTTGAACTCCTTTTGGGACATTTTTGCCATGCATAATTGCTGAAACAGATTTTGGAGCTTTTCCTGTGTTTTTCTCTCAAGTAGTTTCAGAAATTTGTAATTATCTAGCAGATTTTTAAACCCATAGTCTCTGCTTTAAAAACTGCTAATCAGTTAATTTTGAAACTCTGCTTTGATCAACCCTCCAAAACCCCAAACCTGCCAGCTGGGTCTTTAAAAACACGCCAAAATGACAGTGTTTATTATAGATAAAACAGAAACAGATAATCAGATTGTGAACTCTCTGTGAACTAACCATCTGTTATGTGCAATTTTGTTAGAAAAAATAACCAAATCTAAGCTTAAACTCCTGGTATTTCACCACTTTATTCTACACATCTCGTTTAACAATTTTCCAAAAAACAACCCCTTAACAGGAACCAAATTCTTTAAAAAAACAATGACTTGTGCTCCTCTCAATGCAACTGTGACGATTTGAGTGACTCAGCAACGACCAACAATCATGTGACAAAAATTCAGGTACTTTCCGGCTGAACTGCATTCAACTCACCAAAGGAACAAAAGTGAAACAACAGACCCAAGATTTTCATTTAGGAACAATAAATTAAATAATGGTAAAGCTGTTTTGTAAAAATCCAAAGCATTGTTTCAGGCCTCCTAAACAGGCCACGTTGTACCACAGACTGACATAAAATCTTTGACGTAATCATCTGTAACCAAACAATTCATCTACAAATTGCTTTCAGGCGCATGATTTCTGGCCTCAACCTTTCTAATAGCTTTCAAATGGAGCATGATTCCACGAACACATGAATGTGTTGTTCAGACCTCAAATTGACTTTTCACCAGAAGAATTTACAAAAATAGCCAACCTCCTTTTCTCAAAGCGCTCTCTTTGTTTCTCTCTTACTTATCAAATTTTTCTTCTAGCCCGACACCCTCGGCGCTCTCCCCAACCTGAGGGAACTGTGGCTAGACCGTAACCAGTTGTCCTCATTACCACCAGTAAGTACAGTTTTTTAACAAATGTTTTTTTTTTTTAAATGTTGCGAAACTGTATCGCAACCTTGCAGAATTAGCTCCCACTAGCAGCTATCCTCCCTTCGTTTTTGCTGTAAGATAGTAATTGTATTGAGTCTCCATGACTTCATCGTAAGTGGTAATTTATTGTGTGTGTTTAGGAGCTTGGAAATCTTCGGAGATTGGTGTGTCTGGATGTGTCAGAGAATCGTCTGGAGGAGCTTCCCTCAGAGCTGAGCGGCCTCCTGGCTCTCACAGACCTGCTGCTCACACAGAACCTGCTGGAGGTCATTCCAGACAGCATAGGTGAGAAATGTTTACTTAGAGATGTGGATGGAAATAACAGAGTTCAGTAGAATTATGTAATAATGAGAAATGGATGAAATTACAAAAGACACGATGTCACAGTAAAGTCTGCTGCCACCTTTTCATGTCATACCCTGTGCTGTACCCACAAAAATGGCATTATCGTTGGGTTGTATTGCTCTTATTTTGTATGTTAGAATATTTTCTCCTGCTTTCCTCAAATGTAAATAAGACAACTAAAGGCAAAACTGCATCAAAAATTGACAACTTGCTTCATTCTCATGAGTTCGTTAAAAGCTATTTTTTCAGTCTTGTGCTTTGTGTGAACAAAGTGTAATTTTTCGCCAGTTAGTGAAAGTTTGCAACCTGATTATTATGCAGTGTTGATGAAGTGAATACTGGGTCGGGCCCAGTCTGTGCAAGAGATGGGCTTTGTTAAACAAGAGCAGCACTGCCCTCTACTGGAAGAATAAATCCAGTGAGCAGTGGCACAGACAACAATAGCAACTTTCGATTTGTGTTTTTGCTTTGTCAAACTTCCTGATCTGCCTTATTCCAAAGAGTGTATCCAGACACAAAAACAGATAAATGTACATGTTTGCAGTAAAAAATAGTGTCAATTTTTGATGATAAAGAAGGCGATGATTTGTTTGGTGTTCATGTTGTGGCAGGTTGTTAATCGTACCGTGTTTGTCTCCAGGCTGCCTGAAGCAGCTTTCCATCCTGAAGGTGGATCAGAACAGACTAACTCACCTGACGGATTCAATAGGAGAGTGTGAAAACCTCACAGAACTCGTCCTGACAGAGAACCTTTTACAGGTATAAAGATATCAAATCCCTATCTTAACTTTGCACTGACCCATTTGGAATTCATGCACGCCCATTATAATGTTCAAGTCTCATTAACAGCAATTAAGTTTCATTATTGATTCCACTGACTGTTAATGTCCTCTGTCCTCCCTTCCTCCCTCAAAGTCACTTCCTCGCTCGCTGGGCAAGCTGAAGAAGCTGACGAACCTGAATGTAGACCGCAACCGGCTGGGCAGCGTGCCCAAAGAGCTGGGCGGCTGTGCCAGCCTCAACGTTCTCTCATTGAGGGACAACCGCCTGGGCAAACTGCCTGCTGAGCTTGCAGATGCCACTGAGCTGCATGTGCTGGACGTGGCTGGAAACAGGTACCTTTACTTATCGCGCTGAGCTGTTAATAATACACAGCAGCTCGTCCTGCAAAGGTTCAAGAGCTGAGCACAGCGTATTTGCCAAAATGGACCAATATCTTATTTATAAAGACGTTACACCTCCAACTTTGCTCCTTTAATGTGATCAAGAGCGAACAGTTAAACTTATGTTGGTGTATTTTTTAAAGCTACCGTGCTACATTATGGAAATTATGTTTTGGCAAACTTCAAGCGATGATGTTATGTCAGAGGTTTGAGAGTTTTGTGATTGAACTGTGTAAGATCATAGAAGTATCAGGTGGATCATATTTTGTTTTTATCCACTGAAAAGAAAATATTGACTCATCTTATCTCATCCCTACTTTTGTGCAGATTACAAAACTTGCCTTTTGCCCTGACAAACCTCAATCTCAAGGCCATGTGGCTCGCAGAGAACCAGTCGCAGCCGATGCTCAAGTTCCAGACGGAGGATGACGAGCGAACAGGAGAGAAAGTGTTGACGTGCTATTTACTGCCCCAGCAGCCTTCCCCGAGCCTAGGTCAGAAACAGTTTGTTTAAGCAATATTAGGATTTCTTTTGTTGTCATGACATCTAAGTTGTCAGTGGGAAGATTTTCTGTACCCCTGGCTTACCAAACTTAGATTATATAACAGAATATACAGACCTGTCCAACCCTGCAGTCATTATTATCTATGTTTTTTTCTCAACAGGATTTGTATTGTTTTGCATTCAATTTAATTTAGCTACCATGTTAACTTGAATGCTTTGACATCCTTCCCTCTTTTGCCCTCCTCTTCATTTTCACAGAGAACCTGCTGCAGAACAGTGTAGATGACAGTTGGACAGACAGCAACCTGAATCGGGTTTCAGTCATTCAGTTCCAGGAGGAGACCAAGGCCGAGGAGGAGGACGATGAGGCTGCTGCAGAGCGCAGAGTGAGGACACACAACGATGCAGTGTCATCTTCTGTTTCTTTCGTGTCCCTCAGCTTTGAGGATTTGTTTTTGATGGATGTGTTGCCCTCCAAAGCTTCAGCATTAATATCTCTGTTGTCATTGAAGCTGCTTCAAGTGAAACAAAATCCAGTCTAAATGAATGTGGTTTATTGTTCTTGGTGTCCCAGAACCAGTTTCTGTGCACGATGATGGTTATGACTTTGACTCAAGCATTTGTAATGTATGTTATGATCCTAGGAGCTTCACTTAAAAGCGCTTGAACTTTCTGGTTTATGAAGGTGTTTGACCTCTCATACAAACTGATGAAACCTCGTCTTCAAGAACTAAAAAGAGAAGTCCAGTTGCATTTTACTGAAGCTCTTAGGAATACCATGATCTGGCTGACTGAGAATCTACACAGGCATATGTTTGTTATGTAATTCTCATTCACTTTTTTTCTCTTCAGGGACTCCAGCGCAGAGCCACACCGCACCCCAGTGAGCTTAAGGTGATGAAGAAGGTGATCGAGGAGAGGAGGAACGAAGCCTACACATCCAGGCCTGATGGAGAGGAAGAGTCTCTAGACCCACAGGTACAAACACCATACTGTATAATTAACGTTCTGTCAGTAATATAATAATTTAGCTGCCTTGCTAAATAGGAAAAATCATTGGGGAATCTGGGTCATTACCAGCTTTTATGGAAAATAAACAAAAGCGCTTTTCTACTTATTTTTGCTGTGTTGTTAATCACATCTTTACAGACCTCCTGAGCACAAAACGAAACTAAAATATTCCTGTTATTTGTGTACTGGAAATGTAGGAGAAACGGCTCAGTGACCTTTCCAATCAGAGCCACGACTCCCAGGTGTCCAATAGCACGCTGTCAGCCACCTCCCATGAGGACAGACAAAACGTGACGGTGGTCTCTCAGAAGGAGGACCTCGTGGATGGCCATTCCCCTCAGGAGGAGGAAGACCTGGATGAGATGGAGGTGGAGTACATTGAGGTGAATGCTGGAAACATCTCATCCATGACGATCCTTTACTTCCCCTTTTCCTGTACAACTCTAAAATCTCCTCCCTCCCTCTCTCTAGCCCACTGTGCACTTTGCAGAAGAACCCATCATCCGCGGCGGGGACGAGGACGACGAAGAGGATGGCGAGGACGGCGAGAGGAGCGACGAGGAGGACGAGAGGCCGGCTTTCCCCGCGGAGAAGCAGCGTCTGATCAGAAAGGACACGCCGCACTACAAGAAGCACTTCAAAATCACCAAGCTGCCCAAACCCGAGGCCGTGGCCGCGCTGCTGCAGGGCTTCAGCCCCGACGGCCTCAACTCTCAGGCCGCCGAGGACGAGCAGGACGACGAGGAAGAGCAAAGCTTGGGAACCCCTCAACACCACCACAGAGCAGAGGAGCTGGAGGACAGCCGGCATCAGGTCAACTCCAGTCAAGTGAAGGTAAAGGAGAGATCCCAACACTGGCAGGATGCAGTTTGGGAATGTGTGTGTAAAAATTCTTATATAAGTAGAGAAATATAATCCTCACCTGCATTCACGTATACACAAATAAGCAATACAGCAGAAAAGCTTAGTCTTAAGCACACTACACGCCAATAAGAATATATTTTTGCTTTGCTTATTGCCTCTTTGTAAACACTGTTTGCATAGAGTGCCCTCACCACCTTGCACGTTGCATTCAGTTTGGAGTGGGCTGCTGGCACTTCAGATGGATGTGGCGATGCATGCAGGGTCATTGTGGAAATGACGACGTCTTCCCTTGTGCTATAAATCAAGGTTAAGAGTTGATAGTTTAACCACAAACTCTCTAGCAGTCTCACCTAGCTCCCTCAAATTATATAACAACATCATTTCGTGGTTGACGTAAATCAGCTGGAGGCTTATTTTAAACCTCTGTTTCCACATAAAACTGCATTTTTAATTTTTGCCTACATGCGAATAACACAGCAGTTCTTTGACGAATCCAGCCTTTCTTGCACATCACCAGCCCAGTTCAGCACTAAATTTCTCACCATTATCAGCCACCTGCCGATTTAATTAAATAATGACATTTTCACACTCTGCTTTTGTAACATTGTGCGTATGTGTGCTTTAAAGTGTGAATGGAGCGAGTGAAGTCTGCTCAGGTGCTGCTTATGAAAGTGAATCTCTTTATCGATCATTAGTGTTTGGGGAGATTTAATGAGATCTGATGATTTAAAATGCTAATTGTAGAAATGCTTTATTTAACACAATGATCTGCTTAAAAAAAAAAAAATCTGTTTTGTGTGTGTGTTTATGGATGTGGGTCTGTTTGTGTGGATGAACTCGGGCCAACCAGAACATTTATTGGCAGAGCTGGAATGAGAGATCCAACGGGCCTTGTTTGTGTCCAAGTTATTATGAGATGTTGAAGTTGTTGAAGAGTAGGATTCTTCTAGTAAATCAAATTCAGCAAAGTTCGTTTCTTTTAATTTTTAATTTTTTTTTTGCCGAACATTCAGAGTGTCATCTTGTAGTTATGTTCAGATTTTTTGGGCCGAAACTGTTCCGTAGCTTCTCTCAGTCTTTACATAAGTAGGCCTGTTGTCTACATTCAGTCTTGCTACCGGAGGAGATTGCTATTTGTGGTGTGGAGGCTGGGCTTGTTCTGGTTTGGGAGCTTTTGCCTTCTTTTGTCCGCTCTCTCTACACTGTGTGTTGTTGGTTTTTTTTGCGCTGTAGCTCAGCTCCTTGGTCTTGTCTTTCCACCTCTGCCTTTATTTGCTTGTTGGTGGCTGGGGAGCGAATGTGGAATCACTTCTGCTTCAAGGTGTTCCATCCCAGTGGACTTTGAAGTCCTGCAAGCAGATAGTGAAGTGTTGAGTGTGTTGGGTGAAGTTTATGAAAAGTGTGAGGAAAGTGTTTTTTTTTTCCTTTTTGTGTGTATGTGTGTGCGTGCATATTTTTATTTTGGCCTGACTAATCCGCATGCCTCTCGCTGGTTCCTGTCCTAACAGGGGGTGTCATTTGATCAAGTCAATAATCTGCTGATTGAACCTGCTCGAATTGAGGAGGAAGAGGTCTGTACCTACTCTTTCCCGTCCAATCTGTCTCTCTGTTCCTCACTCACCCACTCATTGATCCACCTGTATTCAGAAGTGGAGACAGAAAATTCACGGTTAATCCGAGCCAATCACTAGGGAACCCCTAACCACAACTCATTTACCAGAGGACCAGTGTGGCAGAACCTGGATACAGGACTGAAGTAGACATTTTACCCAATAAATGTATTTTATTTGCTGGACAGCTGGAGCGTTCAAACTGTGGTAGCAAACATGCAGGGAGGTTTAGACTAATATATTCAGTGATAATGTGCAAAGCGACAGCATTTTCACATCATGAGATTGGAGCAGCCCTTTTCATTTTCCTGTTTGTAGGCTGCAGCTCTTTTCTGTTGATACAGGAAAAGGTTAAGCTTAAGCACTTGCATGTTTACTCCCATACATCCTCCAGAGAAGCCTGTTACACGGGATTATGTTTAATCTTTGCCATTTGTTTGTCCATCCATTGAATAAACAGTGCAAGATAAATATTAAGAACATGCACTCTGTGCAAGGGCAGTCTCTTTATCATTGCACGTCATGCAGAATGACCAACCCTGTGTGGTTTCTGTTGCAATGCTAGGGCAGATTAAACTTCTGTCTTTTGTAAAGTTCATTGACAGCAGCTTTGCACATGGCACAGCACCTGAAACACTACCAGATCTCCCTAAATTCTGGGAAACCCTGGTTTTCAAAAGTAAATAATGCACTGGATGTCCACAGTTGTGTTATCCTCCTTAAACTAATCCAAAATGTTTACATACTTGTGCCTATATGTCATTCTGACTTTTTTTTGTTTTGCTAAAATGCCGGCAATGCTCCAAATAGCTACAACTCTGACTGTAGACCCAGTGGTGAAAGTCTCAGTCCCACATCAGGTTCTGGTGCACTGTGCCTCTCCTGCCTTTCCTCTGCTTCTGCTGCTTTGCGCCTTTTCATCCCCTGTCCACGCTGTGTTGCCCTGGAATGAATGGGCTGGTTGCACTGTGACGAACAAGTCTCCTTTACCAACTCCCTCCAGGTTTTCCTTCAGTGTACAGGTATACAGAGATGGTATTTAAAAGCCCATTTATGGTTTCCACATCCTCGTGTGCAGCCTGATTAAAAAGTGGACAGTGGGTGCATGTCTGTTGATATTATAACAAACATGCGATGGTATGCGTCAGCGTACGAGTAGCATCGTGCCTGGTATACAACACAGATAAACAAGCTCCTGTAGATGTTTCTAGAAACTGGCTGTGACTTTGTGCTTCCAGTAACAGATTGCACCATGTCAGTGATTGTTTCCCCAGTAAGTGGACATGATACAGGATTTCTTCCCATGTAGCTCCAAATCAAGGCTCCTCCCAACATCCAGCAACAACTGCAGTTTCTCCCCGAAATGTTTGGAGCACCATTTCCTTCCCAGCGCTTCCAGTACGTCAGGCTGCACGGTTACAAGTTTTGGGCTGCGACCCTCGTACACTCAAATAGATGCCACAGATTTTGTACCCTTGGGGACACGTGGATGTGGAAAGCATGAATCGGTCTTGACTGAGCCTCCAACCAGAAGAAGAGCTCCGGATGGATGAAGAACTTTACTGTTAATAGTCTAATTCTAATAGTGTAAGCCCGTACAAATACACATGGCTGTTATTTAAAATGCAAGAAAGAGCGTGTTTACTATTTAATGAATTGTATTTTTAGTAATCCTTTGTGGATTTATTTTTATCTACTTTTTATTTGCTTGATTTTTTTTAATGTCTCAAATAATGTCTTTGAATACACTCATACAAACTACATGAAGAAAACTTGCAAGAAACATTTGTTTTCACTCTCGTCAGATAATTGTACATGTTAGTGACTAATGCCATCTCATCACTATGAATGCTGAAGTCTCAGCAGCGCTTCAGACTCCAGAGTCTTCTCCACATCCAGGACACTTCTCTGCTCCTTTTGACATTTCCCTTTTCCCTTCCATCACTACCTCATTTATCTTCATTCCTCCCCCTTTTTTGCATGGCTTGCAAGTACACAGAATACACACACAGTCTGTTACTACTTGTTAGATAGTGTTTACCTCACGTTTTGTCACAACACCCATACATACCCAGCACACACTGTATTGTTTTTAAAAGGGGGTTAGTCACTGTTAGTCCGGTTGAAGAAGGCTTCGGACAGTGTGTTCAGTTTATGTCTAATGTCAGTTTGGTGGGTAAAGGTTGATGATTTCATGCCAGTCTTGACTGAATAAGCTTTAAAAGAAATCTGGCAAAATCATCCACCTTCCATTGAAACTGACATAAGGCTCCCAACAGGTGTCTCCATCCGTCTATTGGCACAATCACAGGATCTAGCACTGATTAACACCACCTTCTGGCAGAAAGAGGGAGGTCACCCACAACTTAAATCCTAAAGCCAAATATATTTATATAAAAAAATATGATAATTCTTTATTGATCCCCATAGGTAATATGACTGCCATCTTTAAATTTTGCAACAAAACAACATAATTGTGGGCTCCTCTCTTTTTTAAATCTGCCCTGACATGAGTGGTGTTTTGTGGGGTGTCACTACTAGTATTGTTGACTCCCCCCTCCTCAACTTGCAGCACACCTTGACCATTATGCGACAAACAGGCGGCCTGGGTATCAGCATAGCTGGTGGGAAAGGATCTACGCCTTACAAGGGAGATGACGAGGTAAAACGGGTACCTGGAATACGTATAGGTCTAGGATTTTTAGAAATCACTGATGATATAAGTTCATTCTTCTTGTGTCTTTAGGGAATCTTTATCTCCAGAGTATCTGAGGAGGGTCCTGCAGCCAGAGCGGGAGTTAAAGTTGGAGACAAACTCCTTGAGGTAAAAATCAGTTTGAACACAGTAACAAAAAAACCTCTCAGTGTTTGTTTTTTCTGTGCTCTTTTTTTTTTTTTTAGAGCAAAAGTCTATCTGTGTCTATCTGTTTCTCCCAGGTGAACGGAGTAGACCTCCACGAAGCCGAACATCACACAGCAGTGGAAGCTCTCCGGAGCTCCGGTGCTACGGTTTCCATGACGGTGCTGCGGGAGCGAATGGTGGAGCCGGAGAACGCCATCACCACCACGCCGCTGAGGCCCGAGGACGACTACTTCCCACGGGAGAGACGGAGCAGCGGCCTCGCCTTCAACCTGGAGAGCAGTCCCAGCGGACCTCGGCAGCGGTTCTCCACCTGCCTGATCCGCAACGACAAGGGGTTGGGATTCAGCATCGCAGGGGGCAAAGGCTCCACGCCGTACCGCACAGGAGACATGGTGAGCAGCAAAAAAAAACACCCATCACCTTTCTCTCAATAAGCACTTTTGGTTGGCAAAAAGAAAGAAGTAGAAAGATCTAGGGTTAGAAAGTATCCAACCTCTTTAACTCACAAGCAGTTTCTAGGCCACCTTATTTCTCAGTGTGGGCTCATTTTTCACTGGAATATAAAGTCCTGTGCTTCTATGGAAACAGGAACCATGGCTAGAAATCTATTATGTGAGGCATGACACAGTTAGAGTGCCATATATCATAAAAAAGAGAAAAATGTCATTGAAGTACTTTGATTATACTTTTTACAAAACTTGAAAAAAAGACAGGTGTAAACAATATTAGAAAAGAAATGGTGACTCTACGTACTATAGATAGTGATTTGTTTTCATGCTTGCCTCCGATCTGCTCAGTGTAAACACTGCCTGCAGTTCAGGCAAAAAGTCTCTCAATTTTTGTCACGTGACGGTCGCTGATAAGTCAATAATGGCTTTAAGGTTGCAGAGGAGCACAGCATTTTTAGGTTTAAACCAAATCTGGTTACTGCAAATAGTTTCTTTTTAAATGAGACGAATAGAACAAAGTGATTTCGTAATGTCATGCTTTAAAGCTTAGATTTTGTAGATTTCTTTTCTGACAAAACCGAAATTCGCACAAAATTAGCTCCAAGGCTGCTGAGAAGTTGTAGTTATAGCTGTGAGAAATGGTTTCATTTTATCTATTTTAAACAATAACGTGCCTTTAGAACCTGCCGGCAGCTTTCAAGGTTCAGAGGGTTAATAACTCAACGCTCCTCATTTTGACGACAACACACTCTGATTCTGCCCTGACCCTTTCGTGACACATTTTAAAAAAAGGCACCATGCTCTCAAGGGCAATGACAGTTTACACATTTAGAATATTTAAAGCTTTCTATCAGCGCGCAAATCTGACAAGTGAAGTCAGTAATGGACTGAGATCATGGGTTTCAGCTCAAGGAGAAAGATGACACCGAGAAAGCTGCAGACACAATCTATCACACAAAGAGCCGCCTAATCGGATCTGTAACCGGCGAGGTGTTGGAAGTTAGGAAGTGAAGTCACAACATGTTTGCAGTAACTGTCTCAGTCACAGTGATCTGTCTTTTAACGCTGCCTATTCTGGCCACAGCGTTTACAGTCATCACCGGGGAAACGGAGATATGAATAGCCGGCCTTGACACTTGATAGGTCCACTGTAATTGGACAGGGTGAGGCGCATATTTGGGCCAGCGCAACACTGCACGGGAGCTCATGCTGCTCAAGAAGCCCACAAAGAGGAAAGGACTCATAAACTTATGATTTAGGCGGGCCTGACTGTAAGTCTTGCCTCTCTTTCAAAATCTTTTTGAAATGGATGCAGTGACTTGCCTGGATGCTGCTCGATCCGAGGAGGTGCTGCTATAGACTTTGCTCCTGCATGTGTTGACACATTCTGTTTATGTGAGAACAGGCCAGCAGCTCAGGTGGGTTTTATTTGGTTAAACAAATTAGGTAATTTGTCAAAGCAAAGGGGACAATGTGTCTCAGGGGTCATGCTTTTTAATGAGCTGCTGGCACTGTGCAGTCCTAATGTGTCCTAATGATCAAGTACTGGGCTGTTTATCACGAAGGGAGTGGCTTGTTTATGAGCGCAATCTTGTATCTTAATTTTGTTGCATTGTGGGCTGCTAATACATCAGAACTGCCTAGCCTATAAATCCTGCTAGAAGTATCGAGAAAATAAGTCTATTTCTGTCTCAGACGCTCACTGTGGGGTATCGCATACTGGCTGAATAGCAACCCCCTACTAACCAGCTCACAGTCAGCACACTGATGCATCACAGCGCTGCAGACTGTTACCCTGGGTTTTTTTTTTTTTTTAATCACCAGCCCTGTTTAATCTTGTGCAGGCAGGGGAGGCCATAAAAAGATTTCTGGTACATGATGTAATGAATGAAGCATCGGTATAGTTGCTAGGGATAGATGTTTTTATTTTATCAGTATTACTTGTACCAATGCTGATTATTGGTGCATTATCCCTTTTTTCTTCTCTTTTTTTATTTATTTGCCATTTTTCACTGTTAAGTAAAAATTTAAAGCAGAACTTTTCCTGTGACGTTGCTTTAATTGTGTGGTATGAATTTCTTCTGCCACTGCTTATGCTGACATTCAGTCAAAGAAAGAGCAATAACATAAATAAAGCAGGACGTTTACCAGCTAAATCACTAAATCTGCCTCTGCTCAAAGCGCTATGAAACCCAGCTGATGCTTGGACCATTTTACATAGAATTGATGGACAGACACATGTAATGGTTACTTTTAATCATTAGCTCATGTTTGTATAATTAAGTTACCTCCATATGAGGACTCTATGCTGTTAGCATACATAGCATACCTGCCTGCTGCAACAAGAGATAAACAAGTATGTGACAAAGATTTTAAAATGTGCAAGATGAAGCATAGAGATCCTACGGTCTCCGGCTTCATCATGGAGTATGGTACCCATTTCTTGATTATTTATTTCTTGCATTAAAGCAGCCTGAGAAGGCACACTGAACAAGTTTGAATAATGATAAGTTGATCACAAATTTACAGAAATGTTTAGAATGTAAACATGTCTTCTGTCTACTTTTAGGGAATCTACATCTCTCGAATCGCAGAAGGTGGAGCGGCGCACAGAGACAGCACGCTGAGAGTAGGCGACAGGGTGATCTCCGTGAGTATTACCATCACACATCTCCATCTGGGCGTCACAGCGTTCATTGTGGTTGAAACCGGGTTTTCATTACAAACTGGAAAACTGACTCAGAAATAAGTCCAAATTGGATGCTTACAATTTATCCTGAAACATGAGAATGAATTATTTGTGACCTAGCTTAGGGACACAGACTTATAATAAACATTCTTTATATTCATTGAAATCTGGGGCTGTTTTCTCAGTTTTACAGAGAGCTACTAATCTTAGAAAATATAAAAATAACATTTAATTCATGCCATTTCTGTTGCATGTGTTATTGTACAACTGTAACACTGCATTCATCACTCAAGCTGAGTCTTGCCATGTCAAAGATAGACCAGACTAACTTGTGTTTCCATGCTGAACTCATGTAGAAAATTAAAAATGATCTCATCAGACTTTAACATCACAGTCGCGAGTTACTGACATGCTACACTAATACGGTCCTCATACTAATAACCAACTTTAGTCTCCCTCAGTGCAGTTGTGTAGTTGTTTTGGTTTCATAAAGCAACATTTAGGTTTTAGGTTCCACTGCTCAGGGGCTCCTGCATGTCCTTTCTTTGCTCTTTTATTTCCTCTGCTTGTCACATTTCAAGCTCTGCTGCTTCTTCCTGCATATTAGTAGCTCTTGCATCGCATGTTGGTGTCCAGTCGCACTCACGCACACTTTTGCAATCATTGTATTTCTGTAAATGAATTAATGAAGATTAAGTATGAGAGGTCTGCTGAATGTGAAACTGCCTCTCCTCTTTATTTCAACTCCTGTTCTCTGGGAATCACAGAAACGCTTCCTGAGTGATCCTCTGTGCTTTCTTACCGGGTTTACCTTTCCTCTTTCCTCCGGCAGTTTTTCTCTGTGTCTCTTTTCCTTCTTTTTCTCACTCTGTCTCCTTCTGCATGCTCACTAATGCGTTAAGCGCATCTCTTTGCCTGCTTGGTGGTGGTACGGTGTTGGGATGGAGTGGGCTGAGCCTGTCGCACTGCCGATGTGGTGAACACGTGTCACCGCAGCAGCAGCGGCGGCAGCGTATCAGCCTATGGTAAGAGCTGGTACTGTCGGGTCAGTGCTGACCTCTGCTTGTCAGAGTGCAGTTTCTAAGGTGGTGCATGCCTGAGAGCTACCCCTTGTGTTAAATTCTAAACACATGTTAACTAAACTAATGATGAAATAGCTACTTTGTGACTGAGAGGTGCCTGAAGACTTCCTTGATTGCCTTTGTTGACTTAAGGTCAAACTTTTTGGAGAAAAATCCACTTGAGTTTTAAGTAGACAAAGGCAAGAGAGGAAGGGGAACTGATTATTAAATGTTAGCAGCATGAGCATTCTTGAGCTCACTTTAGGGATAGTTTTGCTTGCTCGCAGCTTTTCTCCCTCAGGGAACCTCTGCCAGCTTAAATTGCCTGCAGCGTCCTGCTGTTACCACTGCTCTCTCTTTTCCTCTACAAGTCCTTGCTGCTCTGTGTAGGTGTCGGGTTCTTCTTTCAATAACATTACTCACTTTAATGCATTCACAAAAGCTCTCAATTAGAAATCAAGGTGTTTTAAGTAAATCTTCACTTTTACTTTCGAGTGATGAGATGCAGAATCTGATGACAGACAGCATGTATTTGCGCTCTAATACTCATCGTGCCGGTGGCAAATGATTATTGGGAGTGTCCTGGTGGGCTGACACGCTCCGTGGTTGGTTTTACTGTCGATCCAGATCAATGGTGTAGACATGACAGAGGCCAGGCATGACCAGGCAGTAGCGCTCCTTACCGGCACCTCCCCCACCATCGCCCTCCTGGTGGAGCGAGACCCGAATGCACCAGGGGGCTCTCCAGGTCAGTCTCGGGCACGAGCCCACTCCCCTCCGCCTCCAGAACCCTCAGACTCTCCAGACCAGGAGGAGGACGGCCTTTCCCTTCACGGGAACCACCTGAGTCGGATGGAGGACGAGTACCCCATCGAGGTGAGACTGATTTTGTTACTTAAATATGTATAATAGTCTTTGCGTATTTTTAGTATAGCACGCTGTAGAAACCTCTCTGAAGCAGTGTTAATGTTTGTTTATGTGGCCCCTGCCTTATCCTTTACGCTGTCCAGTTCCAGAGAAGGTGGTGCATGGTATGAATGGTCCAATTCAAATAATGGTGTAGTCTAGATTGTAGCCTGTTGATACCAGCAGTAACATTATCAGTATTGCACAGATAATGCTGTTTACCTAGTAGTGACTTAGGTCTGCAAAGAGATAGTGTATGTGTGCGCAGTAGAAACTTGATGGTAGGTATTTATTATTAGATGATAATAGTTGTAGATAAGAGTGTTTAATGCGACTCAACACTAAATTAATTTGCTTTTCTTAGATTTGAGTTTGAAATAATTGCAAAATCTCTTACTACAGTAAACCTCCTGCCTCTGATCCTAACAGGAGGTGACCCTGGTGAAGTCAGGCGGCCCTCTCGGCCTGAGCATCGTGGGAGGCAGCGACCACGCCAGTCACCCCTTCGGCATCAATGAACCTGGAGTGTTTATATCAAAGGTATGACGTGAAAAAATTCTAAATTTCTTTGTCGTTGTGGTACTTTTTGTTCTCCTACTTATATGTTGTGTGCGCCTCGTTTCGTCAGGTGATTCCTCACGGTCTGGCGTGCCAAAGTGGACTTCGTGTCGGGGATCGCATATTAGAGGTGAACTCCATCGACCTGCGTCACGCCACGCACCAGGAGGCTGTGCGGGCCCTGCTGGCCAACAAGCAGGAGATCCAAATGTTGGTACGGAGGGACCCATCTCCGCCTGGGATGCAGGAAATCGTGATCCAGAAGCAGCCAGGAGAGAAGCTTGGCATCAGTATTCGTGGAGGGGCCAAGGGTCACGCTGGAAACCCCTTCGACCCCACGGATGAAGGCATCTTCATCTCCAAGGTTCCTAAACCACCTAAAACATCACATCTTTCCACCACTCATTTAATCTGTACACATTTTTAGAGTTTTTGATCATCTTAAAAGGAGTTTGATCCCAAGGAGTGCTTTCTCCTTAGCTTTAGGTGTACCAACCAGCTAGTTTAATGTCAGCTTTATTTAAGGGCAACTAAACATTTGAGAAACATAAGATTGCTCACTTCTCTCCATCCTCTCCAAGGGTTGTGTGCAAACAATTGAAAAAACGATTAAATATTGTTGCCTCAGCTAGTCAGCATAAGAAACACTAGTTGGTTGAAATCATTATTAGTATTTCTTAATGTACAATGCTGCTTAATGCTCCACATTTTGCAAACCAGCAAGGTGGAAAGCAGGACAGTTAACATCTGATAAAACAAGCGCAGTTTGGGCTGTTACAATAAACTGGCGTATAACCACTCGAGCAGAGGAATGTCTGGCATGTGGACATTAACCTGCAAGTTATTTTATTGTTATTGGTTAAGATTTATTCAGTGAGTTGCTGTCAGGTTTTATAGGTTAATGTGCAATATTTAAATATTTACAGGCACAGCACAAAGCGTCACAATATCAGTGGAATTTAAAATAAGATTTGCTTATTTAGGAATCCGATTGAAAGTTTCAAATGACTGTTAGATAAGTGTACAGGGTTGTTAAATTATGCTCACAAATTTCTGAGTTTGCTTTTACACTAGTTGACTTGTTTAAATTTAAATGTCTGATCGACTGGAAATGAGGGATTTGGAATATCCTTATTGTCTACAGGTGAGTTCGAGCGGAGCAGCAGCAAGAGATGGACGACTGCAGGTCGGCATGCGTATCCTCGAGGTGAACAACCACAGTCTGCTGGGGATGACGCACACGGAGGCAGTGCGAGTGCTGCGAGCTGTCGGGGACTCTCTGGTCATGCTGGTGTGTGACGGCTTCGACCCACGAAAAGTGGCTGCTGTGGAGGTGACACACCACTAACTGTCTAGAACAAACTTAAATGTCCTGTAATGTGACGCTGTCTTTATGTTGACTGAGATATACATATATTTGGTCAGTCAGTTATTTGGCTGCAGTGTTGATGTAGAGATAAAGCTGCTCACTGTGACTCTGTTTGTGTTCATTTCCAGGCGTCTCCTGGCATCATTGCCAACCCGTTTGCAACCGGTATTGTACGTAAGAACAGCATGGAAAGCATCTCTTCTATAGACCGAGACCTGAGCCCAGAGGAGATGGACATAATACAGAAGGTACAATGCAGATTATACACTGATTTGGTATCTTAATTAGCAATTCCAACATTCCTCGATATACGTCAGATATTGGCACTCACTGACTGTGTGTGTGTTACTTACTAAATGCACTCCTTAAAGCCTTAAGAACCCATGCAGGTGCAATGCAGAGTTTTGGTTCGAACATCAGGAAGTGCAGTACACTTTACTATCATCCAAATGAAGCCCATTTCCATCCAAACCAACAAATGAATCAAATGTTTTGTTCAGCGATTCTGTCCCACCAACACTGTGCTTCCACAGCAGTTTGATCAAGTCCTGAGCACAGCTTCGCCCACTCCAGCCATACACAGCACACGTACCATCTTTCTACCAGAGCAGCCAGAATGCGCCAGCACAGTTGTTTATTTTGTCCAGATTAGCTTTTGGGAGACTGCCCGTCCTAAAGGAATGTAGGCGTCTGTTTGTTTGTTGAAAACTACCCTTCTGTTGTGCCTCTGCACACATTTAGATCGATTTGTCAGAGACACCTTTATCAGGGAACACATACCTGGTTTTTAGCTACAGACTGTGCTTCTGCTAAGTTTTACAGGATAAACAGTCGCTATTTTTTTTTAGCATTATAAGACTCTAAAATGTTGCTCTTTTCCAGGAGTCTGAGATGGTGAGAGAGACATCACAGTGGGAGCGAGAAGAGATGGAGAAAGTGGTAAGTGAAAGTGAAAATCCACTTCTGTTGTGGGACGGCTAGAGGTAAAATTCTATGTCATATCAGCAGATCAATGTCACTGCAGTGAAGAAAAAAAAAAATCCCCATTATGGCTCCATAAAAGTCAAACCTGAGTGCAGCGCACTGGGCGGAGCTTTAGAAGTCAAACACTCAGGTTTGTCTGTTACCGGGTGAATGAAGCTTCTCCTCTGCACCCTGTGTGGGTTTTGTGTTTGACAGAACTGTTCCTGCAATGTCCCACCTTGCATGCTTTTTCTGCTCCCATAGCGAATGAATAGGGTACTTTTTAATGTGTGCGGATTCTATCCTTTCTTTCCCTTCTGTTTTTCTCTCTCCTTTACCTTCGGTGTGTTTGGTGTGATACGAAAATCATCCAATCATCCCATCTCCCGACCACCTTCTCCTCTGCTGTTTTTCTCCACTTCAACTCCTGTAACACTTCTTTCCTCACCCGTAAATCCTCCATCATCTTCTCGTTTCACCCCCCCTCATCGCATTACTGTGTGGCTGTGTGTGGTTGGGTGTCTTTCCTTCTGTACTCTACTCCTCCACTTCCTCTCTTGGTGAAGGAGCGAATGCGCTTGGAGCGTGAGGAGGCAACTCGCCTGCTAGAAGAGGAGACTGAGGTGAGACACTCCTCATCGGCAGGACCTCAGACAAGCTTCAAGCCTGTGCCGAACTAAAGTTCAACCGTAAACGCCACAGAACTACTGCTGCTGGATTTTACCATCTTACTTTTTACATAAGTCAATCGTCTAAACTTAATCAACTGGAGGAGGCCCATGGACAGGATACTGTCATGTGAAAAAGGGACATTGTTTGCTTATTTTGGACATATTTCAAGCAAACATTTGATCCTCTTTGAAACAGTGCCTACAGATAATGGTTTTATACTCATAAATGGCACTTACAACTGGCATTTTGTAGTCATTTTAGAATTTAAATAAATAAAAAACACATCAGTCACATTTATGACACCTTCAAATCCATAAAATTAGAATAAAAATGTCTAGATTAGGACCTTTAAGGGAGCAACAGGTTGAATCAGGCTTATAAACTTTGATATTAAGTGTCTGTTCTTTCTGCTATTGAAGTGTGTGCTCTAAAGAGAAAAAGTTGTGGCAGGGGAGGCATTCCAGGAAAAAAAAAAGAAAATTAAAGCAAAACTAGTTTGCCACTGAACATAGATGTAAAGAACAGGTGTTAAAGAATAATATGCTCTGGACAGATTAATCAAAGGTAGCTTTTTGTTCCATGTAGACCATAGAAAAAACACATACCAGCTCTGAAGCGTGGTGGTGGACATGTTACAGTTTGGGGTTGCTTTGCTCCTTCAGGGCAGCTTGCAGTCGTTGATTCAACTATAAATTCTGCATCATATCAAAGAGTGTTCAAAGATAAGGCGAGGCCATCTGCACAAAAGTTGAAGTCGAGCCAGAAGTGGTTGGTAATTAAGTCAGCCAGCGAGCTTCCCCAGATGGAGATCCTTAATGCAGTTAGCAAAGTGTCCATTCTAGGCGGCTGATTTTTGTGTTTAACTTCAGTCTGACTGAAGACAAACATTTAAAATGACTCATGTTTTTTTTTTCTTTGTAAGGCTGCAGGGAGCTCATGCTAATTATCGAGCTAAACACGCTTCCCAAGCTGTTTAGTACAACTCCTCATTTACCCGAATCTCTACAATAGAAGTAAAGAGTGCAAAATTAGGGAGTTACGCCAAGTTGAAATAAACCAGAATTCTCTTTTAAGGCCTGAAAGTCCAGAAATTAGATTCGTAATCATTCAAGTTTCATATATCTTTAATAAAACAACATTACTTCAAGCACAAATCCTTCGGCCAGTTCAAATCTACAGGATGTGAAAGTTTGGATCCTTGACTTCTCTTTCATTCTATACATACGTAAAACTAATTCATTTTTAATACATTCCAGCTTGCTGTGAACTAAACCTCAGCCGTGACCTCCTCTCACCTCTGTGTCTGTTTATTTCCCATTAGAACATTGGCACTGGACCTCTAAAACTTGACTACAAAACGCTGGCCGCCCTGCCCACCACCAGCCTGCAGAAGGTCAACAGGGTGAGTCTCGCTTTATGTTTGAATGTCATCAGGCAGCGGTGGACGATACACAGGTTTAAACCGAGTGAATTAATCGTTTTACTTTTCAAGTGTGGCCCTTTCAAATTATAAACTGCTGGTATTTTGTGTGTGGCCTAAGTTGGAAATGGCCTTCAAAGCTCAGAATAGACTTGTGCATGGAATCTGTTGTTTTTAAGTCCTTGGAGATGACCAGTTGCCCCTCCAGGAGGCCTCAATCTCCTCAATGTGCATAACCCCAAGTCAGCATGGCTGCTGGTGGCTCCAAGGCCAGAAGCTACAACACATCAGGTCAGCGTGTCCGGTGAACAAGAGCATATGTGACCAGGACTGAAAGAAATCACATGAATGATGGATGAAGGAGCTGGAGAGTAAACCAATCCAGGAAGAAGTACAGAAGATCAACAAAAGGAAAAACAAGCTGTGGGAGGAAAAAACTATATGTGGAAATGAAAGGAAGCCGAAGACCAAGCGCTGTCCTGGGTGGTAAAAAAGTACGAGTGTGAGAGAGTTGCTGAGATGGGGGAAGGGGACAGCTGCCCACTATCCACCGGCCTATCCTCTGCGATATTTTAAACCTGCATCTGGCTCTGGAGTGGATGGAGTCTGTTGGGTGGAGGGGTGGGGGGATGCCAGGCAGACAGGGAGGGTGTCGACCAAGAGAAACAGACAAGTGTTTCAGTTCCCAAAGTCCTCGCAGGAGTAAGTTTGAGTGGACGTACAGCGCTGTCCCGTTACCATCCTACAGTGAGTACAAAGAACTTAAACCAGCAGGAGTCGACTCTTTAGCTTCATTATTATTCTTCCTTCTTGTATTTTCCTCTACTTCTGTCCCTGATTCTTGTCTGTCACTCTCACTCTGGTCAAACTGACTTGTGTGTGATAAGTTTTTATTCTTTTAAACAAACAGCTTCTTGTTTCTTTGTGAAAGGTAGCAAAAACTGTAAAAAGAGCACAGGATGGGTTGTTTTTGTGTCCCACTTGTAGATCAGCGTTAGCAGGAGAACTTAACCTACATATGACATGCAGCTGTTCATACTCGGTGCGTTAGAACTGGATTTGCTGTTCAGCCACGTGTTCCTGCTCAGACTGTCTTAGAAAAACTATTTTGTTAGTTACTTTTCTTTTAACAGTTTTTGCTGAAGGCCAGAGACACATGCTGGAAATGGAGATTTAAGAGCTGCTGTGAAGAGTCAGCTTGATGTTTTTTGGTGAATACTTCCCCAAATTAAATATTTATCAACCCAAAGGCGTATTTTAAAAGGTTGATGCTTGCCTTGGAAAAGAAGAAGTGTGGCCAAGATATTGGTTATACAAGATTTGTTTGTTGTTCTGACATGAGACAGACAGGTTACGTTTTAGATTAGACTGATGTAGAGAGTTCTGAAAAAGGCTTAATTTTACTGGAGTTTACTGTGTGGTTAGCCTCAGGTTGTACATTTTTTTCTTGTTTACTCTGTCGCCAAAAACAGGTTTACAGTGGCTATCTCTACATTCATAAAATAGTATAGTTTTTATTTCAATAAAGACAATAATCGAACTACATGCTTAATGAAAATAAATATTCAATTAATATTCTTGAAAACATGAAGTTGTGCATATTCTGATTTCCTGTCTATTATCAGCCTTAACATATCATTCATTATGTTAAAATGTGAAAAAAACTATTCCAGCTTCTTAAATGTGAATATATTTTGGTTTCTTTATTCCTCCGTGACAGTAAACTGAATATCTTTGGGCTGTGGACAAAACAAGACAATTGAGGACATTGTCTTCACTGAACACTGATCAACATTTTTCACTATTTTCTGGACCAAACAGCTCATCGGTTATGCAGGAAAATAAGAGACAGATTAATCAAAAATGAAAATAGTCATTAGTTGCAGCTTTAATCATCTCATATAAAGCTAAGGACTGATCAAACATCAAGTGTAACCAGTGGATTATGCAAAGGGAAAATTACATATTCAGTATTGATTATGCTACAGATTATTTCCCTTTTTTAACAGTACAGTAGAAACAAACTATGGAGGCCAACAACAGTTCTTAGAATCCACAACAATGTGTTCAGATGTCTTGTATTGTGTGACCAATTGTCCAAGTTTACAGATACAGAAAAGAAACCATTTTCTGACATTTTTTTAGACCACCTAAATAACCGAATAATCCAGAAAGCAATCAACAAATTAATTGAAATTTTAAATGTATTAGTTGCACAGCTAATTGCAAACTGCAGTGAAACCTCAGTTCAGGATGTATACATGTCTGAAGAATAGTCTCAAAACCTGAATAATATCAGCATATGCTACATGTCTTAATTAGAAAATACTTAATTTGGAACAGGGCTAAAAATGTAATATATGCTGCTTACATGACCTGCATCAAATTCAAACTACCGTCAGATTTAGAGTAACGGTAGAATAAAATCAGTAATAAGTATCTATTACGAAAAAAAAATGATGGCGTGTAAATCTGTGTTCACCTGCCATTGTTTTAGAAAAGATTACAGTCTACTGTAATCAGTTCTAATTTAATCTTACTTGGAACCCTGGCTGTGCTTTTAGTTAGTGGTATTTACATTCACAGAGTCAGTTCAGTTCCCGGTTTCCTGGACGTGCAGCTCTTCCCAGCATGGCTGCAGACAGCTCAGTGTGTCGGCATGCCGGCGAGCTGGCAGCCTGACTTCTCTCTCTCACACCAAAACCCCAGCTGTCCCTCACAGTCTGTGTCGGAGCCAAAAGGCCACTCGTTCACATTCCATCCCACTGACCCTCATCGCACCGCCAGCTCTTATAGTCAGCATGCAGAGAGCAACGCTTCACAATGCTCCTTGTATTCTTAGTCTGGCTATTTTGATTATCACTAGATATGTCAAGGCCACGTCACATAAATTCCTCTGTAGTTCAGAGTGGTCATCTGGTTTGACCTGAATGTTTTTAAGTATTTTTAGGTTTTAGGTATGTTAGGAAACACACGCAGTGTCCAGTTTCTCTGGTGTTGCAGAGCACATGTTGGTTTAAAAGCGGGATATTTTCTGTTCTGCAGCAGCCATCCTCTCTGTCACAGTAGAAGCAGAAGGTGTGCTGGAGCCTGAACGTCTCGCAGCTCTGATAATATGTTTATTTAAAGCAGAGGCCAAGAGGCTGGACTGCAGTTATGTGTCTATCTAGTAACGCGCAGAACCAGTGAAGTCTTGAATGATGGCCGCCAAGAAACTTATCTTAAAGGCTGCAGGAAAGATTTAGTGATGCGAGCCACTCTTTTTAGCAGCAGGAGGCTTCTGTGTCAAGTTTCTATTTACAGAACGTCATAGTAAGACACAGGAATGTCTTCTCCTGTCTTGTTTTAGATAATATATTAGGTCATGTATTACTTTGATCACCTTATTTCCCAGATATGATGTTGGTTTTACTGTAAACCTAATGAACATGTTCACATTCACACATTTCCGTTTCTAAAATGTGTGAATTTAAACTAACAGGTGAATATGGAAGTTGTTTTTCAAACCACTTTTAGCTTTTCACTTTACATCCTCCAAGAAGGGTTTTGAGTTAGTGCACTTGATGTTTGGAAATTGCCTTAAAAGCTCTGGACTGGTTTTACCTGGGAGTTTTTATTAATTCATCATAGTTGCTGAAGTTGTCTGTGATCTTTAATCCTGTGAAAAATCTGCAAAGTCCTTAATTTGTAAAGTTTAAAATTCTGGCATGATTTTCCTACCATATGTCGCCAAACACAGAAGTCCTGTGATAATATTGCAAATTAGCATCTCTGTGATTTGGGGTTGTTTTGTTTTTTTTTAATTCTTTTTGCAATATTTTTCTTTTCTCTGCTTCTTTCCTGCTTTGGAATTATGGAGGCTGCATTAGCAATTGTTAAATAGAGTTTGGAGCATTTTGGGTGCAAACTCAGAGGCAGAAAGTTCAAATTTATCAGAAGAGCAACATCTTGAAGTATTATAGATGCAAGTCATGCATGGCAGCATGAAGTGAGGAACATTTTGCTATCTTTCAGCAGGTTAAACCGCTATATGTAGCAGCTTGTTAATGCTACATCTGCAGATAATGTCAGTGAATTAGGAGTAAAACAGGTTTTGCTTGTTGCTTGTGAATGTGCCACATGAAGCACAGATGTGGGTGGATAGTTTCTAAATCACACAAGGTTTCCAGGTCATACTAGTGTCAGACGAACTGAGTTTTTTCCTTGTTGAACTCTGAAGTGTAATATAACTGAAAGAAATCTGCCTTCTTAGTTTCTTCTCTTGTCAGTTTTTTAGAACTTGTATGCATTTTATTGTTCCACTAGTTATATCTTCAGCTTTTCCTTTCCTTCTGTGTCATGTCAGTTCACTCTATGTGTCCTCCCTCTTTCCTTTGCTCCTGCTCAGTTCTCTACCTCTGTTACTCTGACTGCTCCCATGGAGGCCCCCCTGCAGGCCCAGTACGGAGCCCCTTTAGAGCCCCTTGGCTTCGTTTTGCCCACAACGCCCCTCAGCCACATGGACCCCGAGTCCTGCCCCAGTCTGAACACAGAACACGACTACCTCCACGGATCCCAGTTTTCCCCTAATGGGACCTCCACCACTGAGAGTTCAGGCTCGACAACAGCCACTAGCTCAACATCAACGTTTATACCTGAAGGAGAAGAGGAGGAAGAGGAGTGTCTGGTGGACTCTCAGCCCATCTGCTTCAAAGAAAACCCGTTCTTGGTGGCCAATCGCAAAGGAAAAGGCCTTCCTCCTGGAGAGCGGATCCTGTCAGGGCCTCCGGTGGGCTACGGCAAACAAGGCCAGCTGCAGCCCTGGTTGTTCAGCAAGGCAAGAAGCCTGCGTGTGGTTTGGAGGCAGCATGTTGTGTTACTGTGGCACTTGTTGTTTTGCTCACTTATGTCCTTTTAAAATGGATAAAAAAAAATATCTGACTGACAGAATGTGATCCAAGGAAGTGTTTTCGACTTGTACTGTAACATTCACCTTTTCTTTACAGCTGCAAGTGTAAATGTTATTTTGTGATATTCTATAAACCACAACCGTTTACCAAGAAAATAATCAGCAGAAATGCATTGGCTCTGGACAAACGGCCACAGCAGGAATCAAGTTGTCACATCTGATGAGGATTAATGTGGTTTAAAGACGGTTCTGTCAGTTTCTGTGAAAAGCGTTTTTCTCTGATGTGTATTAATTCCAGTTTAACCCTCTGAACCACAAAACCTGCCGGCAGGGTTGAAAGGCATCTTGTTTTGAAATAATTGCCAAAGTTATACCAATTATCTGAGCCAGAAACTGTAAAATTCATCAGATTTTTAACTGTTGAACTACTCATCTGATATGTCATTTGTAAAGCAGAATAAGTAAGTAAAAAATCAGTGCTTCTCTGCACAACTGAGAAGTTACAAGTGACTCAGACCAATAAAGATTGTGACAAAAATTCATGGACTTCTCAGCTAGAGTGGCGTGTAGAGTCAGAGGGTTAACGACCAGCTGAGCCGGTGCATGTTTTTGCTGTGAGCACGGAGCTTGTAGCACCTCCTCAGTACATAGTCAGGAGCGACTGGAATGTTTGAGCCGACAGCTGTGAGGAGAGTCATCAGTCACGAAGGAACACGACCTGCAGGACCAACAGAAAACTGCATGTTTACCAGCAGGAGCTTGTTGTTTGTTGGGTTTACTGGGAGATGAATTCACCACAGGACTAACCAGTAAATTGTGTTGTCTTTGCACTCAGTGAAACTGATGGCAACTGTTAAGTGTTCTCCATCTCTGTTTTTTCAGGCTCCTTCCTCTGATTTCCCCAGAACCGACAGCCCGATCAGGGAAGCACCTTATTCTCCGACTATCCAACCGGTGAGCAGCTCCATCACCCAGCACTCCTCCAGTATTCATCACCTGCTCTCTCATGCCATCCTTTTTCCTTTATTTGATCCTTTTCCATGAACCACCTCGGGCTCTTTAGCAGAGCCATTTGACAGTTGACCCTCTTGACCTTTCCTCCCACCCGTAGCCCAGCCACCACTCCTCCAACAGCTCCATGTGTGCAGGCAGGGAGACCCGCTTTGTAAGTGCGGCCCTCTCTGCTCCGGCGTGGATTTTTCATTTTTATGAAGCACATGCTGAGCCCTTTATCTGTCAGTGAAACATAACTAGCTGAGCTGCTACAGTCCTGCCAGTCTGAAAAGCATGCGAGTGCTTCTCAATGGCCAGTAGATGCTTTGCCTTACGCCGACTGGATGTGCATTCATTAGAGATTTCTACTGGTTGTCCTTAATGTGTCTACTGACTGGCGATGGCTTCGTATTTTCTCACCAGATGATAACATGAGTAGTTTTTCCTTGAGCAACGTTATCTGTTGTTTACAAATTACATGTCCACAGCAAAATATGACCAATGCCCCACATTTGGTGATCGAATTAGCTCAAGGTAAACCCTGGTGATGTTGCATTGTGTGTCAAGTGTCTTTATGTGGCCTGGCATCATCCCTACAGAAGCCCCTCATGAGTTAAAATTTAGTGCACTGCTGGTTGAAACTCAAGCAGATGGTGCTGCTTCGTGCATTTTTAAATTTTTTTTGACATTGTCATACTTTTATTTTAATTTCTTTTGCAGGCCAACATTCATTATGCATCCACTCCAACTGCCAAGGACAACACTTCATCATCAGTGAGTGTCTGAGCTCAGAAACACCTGAAAAAACAATGTATTTTATAGCAGAGAGGACTTGTATTTATTTATAGTCTATAAACTAGTTGTTGCTACACAGATGTTTCAGTGCGATGACATTTCCTTCACCAGAACAGCTATATCAAAAAATTGTGATGGTTTGTTCAGCTTTTTGGTAGAAATCGGTTAAAATGAAGTAGGAAGCAGTCATTAGCTGTGTTTCCATAGTGTATTTTTATATGCAAATTTTAAATATTGCATTAGATAAATTTAAAGGAAATGATAAAGTTTCACTGAAGGTTTTTGCGCTAACTTCAGGTGGCTTTTGGAAATAAATTAATGCGCATAATGCCAGATAAAAACACCTTTTTTGAGCAAATTCTGATGTAGCAAACATTTAACTCACATGACCGATGAGGTCTTTCCAATTTTTCCATCGATTTCGCCTCCGGACAGCATGAAACACGTCCAACAGCAGCTCACCTGAAAGAATAATTACAACTTAACTGATTGAATTTTTCATTCTTCATTCATCTCTTGTAATGGCCAAAGTTTCAGTTCTTTTCCTTGGAGGTTTTCATGCAGTTGGTAGACGATGAAGCTACGTTCCAAACTACTTTTTACCTACTTACATGCTGCAGCTGTCGTCACATACTGTGTCGTGCAGTATTCACACAGTTGGGTTGTACTACTATATCATAATACAGCACCCTAAACCTTCGCAGTCTATAGCGCAAAATGAGCCTCTGTAACTGCACAGAGGTACTGAATCTTTCTCTGGTTACTGTGTAGTAGAGTAGTATTACTATTGGTACGCACCCCCAGTTTGCTTGCAGCTTCTTCTACACCTATTGTAGCCTATACTGCCTCTTTTTGACAACACACAGCCTTAATAATCCGCTTCAAAGCAGTTAAAGTAAACAAGCGAAATCATTCACTTTACAATTATATGGAAACACGGCTGCTGGTCTAAAAGAGCTCAGAGTCTCATGTCCTGTCTTTGGACGCTTTATCACTCTACCTGGAGTAGAACTCATAAGTAAAACATGTCATACCTGATTATAAGCCATTACAACTACAGACAGACAGATTCCACATCAGGTGCATTTCAGCTTCATCTTCTCCATTCATTTTGAGTCGTCGTCGCCTTCAAGTTCGACATCTCTGACAGTTTATTAATCACACGATTCGTTTTCTTCCCAGACGCGACCGGGTGCCATCCAGCCAGTGGGGCGTGTGCGGCCGAGTGCCTCCCCCGCCACGCCAGACGGCCACAGTCCCAACCCCTTTCAGCATGGCCCCTCCCCCTTCAACTCCCAGACCTCTGTAAGACCCCTCACCACCACCACCACGTAGGGCTGGTCTCCATCCACTCTCAGCTCTGTGCTGCCTGCTGTGGCTGCACACTCCCAAATATAATCAAACGGTGTCTGACAGCAGTTACCGATCATTTTGGCACACCAGTGATTTTTGTTTCCAAAGAAGCTAGAACCAAAGACGGGAAGACACAGTTGAAGCGTAGCTCGCTACGACCTCCGGGCACACCTGGAGGTTTTAAGAGTCTGGACTACGCCTGCAAACAGAGCATTCAACCCAACTTGAATCAAACATAACTGACCAAAACTGCAGCTTTCTGATGTGTTTGCTCATTTATTCTTTTGACAAGTAGCGTAAGCCCCTTTCAGACATGTACAATCTGACTGAACGCATCTGCCGCATGTCTGAATGCGCAACCAGGTCATTTTTCCGTTAAAGTCAGGCCGGCAATCCTACTAGGTCAGACCCAGTAACATTTCTGTATCACTGTGTGAAGTTAATTATGGAAGACTTCTCCCACATTTTAGCACCAATATTCATCCAAAACCATCACAGGCAGCTTGTGTGCCAAAATCACAGCACACCTTTCTCACTCGTTTTGCTCTACAGTTTCAAATCTATTAAGCTACAAAATGACATGAAACTTTAGTACAAGGAAATCAGACACTAAAAGCTTAAAGGTTAATGATCCTCACCAGTAATGAGTGATGTTAACATGAGCTAAAATGTGTTGCTTCCAGCTGTTCAGGACTGTTTCCTCCAAGTTTAATGAACACCTGCAGCATCAGACAGCAGCAGGATCCATGTGGTCACACTTGATCAGCCGCAGTTAAATATTTGTGTTATGTTTAAGAAATCAGAAATGAACTGGGCTTATTCAGCATTTTTATAAGCTGCTATTAGATTTCGTCTTGCATAATCTTGCGTGAATGACTATTTGTGAATTCAGCCGTGAGAAACATTAACAGAAAAGTGACCTGTGCCTGAATTGCTGGAATGCCTTAATGGATCGATGAAGCCAGCAACGTTTCATATCCCATGTCTGAAAGGGGCTATAGCGAGGCCATTAAGTTATGAAGAAGCTTTGATTTCATCTCACGTCCTCCTGATTGTTTCACAAAGGTGCTCATACAGACAAATCTTTCATGGCTTTGAACTTTCCAGGCCCTACTGTCTGTCTTTCTCTGGCATACTCCCTCCTCTCTCACATGAAACCAGCTGCCATGCTGTTCACCTGTTCTCCTCCACAGTCTTCTTCAACTTTGCTGGTTTTTTTCATAGTCTACCCTCTCCTCCATGTCTCTGTCTGTCTGTCCGTCCTCCCCACCTCCTCTTCTCCTTCTCGCCCTCCTTTTACCATATGGACCTATCCCACCCTCCATGACCCCTCGACCTCCTCCCCCCCCCCCCAACCTGCAGCCTCGCGCCCCCTCCCCCACCTCGCCCGATGAGTTCCCCATGAATGTCAAGCAGGCATACAAGGCGTTTGCCGCCGTGCCTCGCTCGCTCGCAGTACTGGAGCCGCCGCAGGTAGGCCGTGCTGCCCGGCCTCGACCGGGTCACAACAACACAAGCATGCTGTGCTGACTGGTTGGTCTCGCCCCGCCCTCTCCTGACTGGAGCAGGCTGTCCTCGGTGAAGCCTGCGCCTTGTCGGGGGGCCTGTGACGTGCTGTGACGTGTGGAATGCGTTCATCGTTGGTTTTTCCACTGCCATCATCTGTCGTACTGGTGTTGCCTCTTGATCCATTCATCCGTCCATGTGTGGCTCGTGTACTAATATTCGATCCTCCCCCTTTTTTTGTTTTAATATTATATCCCAGCTGCTAATCAGTCTGCCTGCTCTCTATCTCGGTGTTTGCTCTAAGTTTTGGTCTCCTTTTTATGACTAAAGCTCATTTCTTGCTCTGCCAACAGGAGCTGTACGCTGTGAGGAACAATGTCCACCCAGTACAGCCTTCTCCAGAGGTGAGTCAACATATCGACCCAAACATATCAAATATGATATAAAGCAGAGCTGCCTGTTGCACCATATTGACCTGAATAACAGACAGTAAACATTTATTGATGTTACACTTCTAAATAGTGGAAGGTTGTGTTACAGTTGAGGATGTGCTCACGCCATCAAATATTGAATATAAAGTTGCAGCGTTGCATTTTAGTTTGCCTTAAAAGATTTTAGGAAGCCACATAGAGGAAAAAAAATGTTGGCAATTGGGTCAATAGCATCAGGAACAAACTGAAATTAATCTGTCAAGCATTTAAGAAGTAGCCATGTCACCGAATGTCTTGCCAATGAGCTCAAGAAGATCCTCCACAAATGTGACCAGTCAGAGAAAATCATTCTGGCTGCTAAAGCACAAGTTAAGCCAACGTGGGATTTAATTCTACTTGCTTCGTATTGTACCTTTAAACAAAGAGGGGTTTGAAAGGGTGTGCTGGTTGTCCTATAATCTTAGTTTTGGTTTTTAACAAGTGAACATTAAACCTGCTGCTGTCTAGATGCGCTCAGAGCGTTCTGTACTGACAGTCTGTGGCCTTTTCAGCCTGAGTTGAACAACGAGGTGTTTGTCGATGCCACAGACGGTCAGGAGGGAGGTGGCGAGGGTCTGACCGGCAAGGTCTCCCCGCGGCTCTCCCTCTCCTCTGACCGTCGGGAGTATTTGAGCCTGGCAGCAGTGCCTCGGTTCTCCAGGCCTTCCATGGAACTGCAGGTACCCACCGCCTCCGCCACAGCGAGAGCAGCCCCAGCTCTCCGTCGGGGCTGCGGTGTGCTTGGCTTGACCGGTGGTGGTGTTCTCTGCTGACAGAGATTAAGAGACAGCTGTGCTACTTCTGTTAGTAATGTGGCTCCCTGATAACTGATCTGAAATCAGCTTAGTGGTGCTGGGTTCTAATTTAATGCCTGTTTGTTTTCTTTCCTGTTGGACTGTGACACTTCTGGCCTCTATCATTTCTAGCGTGTATACTGTGGTCTTTCTGCAAATGGCACTTTATTTAGCTGCTTTGTCAATTCAGAGCACGGCAGGTGTTCAAATCTCAACTCTAATTTGTTCATCATTCTGCAATCTGTCCTTGATTTTTCCAACACCCCCACAGAGTCCGTCTCCTGGTGGAAAGGACAGCCCAGAGCAGCGCTCTTTCAGGGACAGGCAGAAGTACTTTGAGATTGACGTGAAGCAGCAGACGCCAGACAAACCCAAACCTCGAGTCTCCCTCGTCGGAGAGGACGACCTCAAGAAAATGAGGGAGGAAGAAGGTTTGTTTCCACGGTTTCATAAACTTGCTAATAACTGACAAAAACTTGTTATTGTGAACTAGTGAGCTTAAAAATAAGTGAAATGTGCTTGTACTTTATGTATTAAAGTGTGCATGTTATGAGAAGTGAACCTCTGAATCTATGAACATTTAACATTGTGAATGGCCTGTGACCTGTTTGCTTTTTTTGTTTTATCTTAAGTTAGTACCGTCAAACATACCCTCTGAACCTCAAAACCCACCACTCAGTCATGTGACACAATTCAGGGACTTTTTGGTTAAACTGCAGCTGTGTTGACACAGGGCAGATAGTAGACAAATGTGGAAACAAACTGGAGAGATTAGGAGCAAAATAAAACACGCAGCAATAAAATGGCTCAAAAACTGTATACAGAGGAGCAAGTTGTCAGCAATTTGTTGGAAGATACATTTATCAAGGTGAAATATCTTTCTACAGTTGATGTAGAGTGGTGTAGAGGTTGTAAAATGTAAGTAGTAAAATATCTGTAGTATGTAGAGCCACCATTTTTTCCAGTATTGGTAACACACATGGCACTTGGGAAAAAGTTTATACATTGATGGCAAATAAATTTTTTACTTTTTCAGTTTTATTTTTTTTGTAGAAAACCAATCAAACATTATTGATTATGACATTATAACTTTGTTGCACTGCACAAAAGACATTATAGGGGTCTCCCTACTTCTAGTCATGACTGTGCTGTTTCCATAGAAGTGCAGGACTTTATATTGCAGTGAAAAATGAACCTAGTTTTTTTCTGGTTTTATTTCCCTAAACCATGAGAACATCCTAATCTCTCCGAATCTCTCTCCAGAGAAAAAGTTTGAGCAGCGGGCGCGGGAGTACCTGCTGGATGAAGATGAGGAGGATGAGGAGGAGGACCTGGCTAAGCAGGTGGCCCAGATGAAGGCCACTGGTAAGGTGCTGCTGGACGGAGTGGAGTACAACGTGGAGCCAGCGTCCGCCCCGTCCCAGCACTGCTCCACACCACCAAACTACAGCGTCACACCACCGAGCTACTGCGGCAGCTCAGGGTGAGAAGTTGGGTGTTACATTTGAAACATTTCTCTATTTTAGTTTCTTCTGCAAACTAATTGTCCGTTTTGTGTGCAGGCCCTCCTCAGTCGATGGTAAAGGAGACTCTCAAAGGAATTCCCTGGAGGACAGCTTCAGGATGGAGATGAGGCCCAACTCCATGACGGGGTAATCACAACATACGAGATTACGTTTCTGAATCTCCCCGTGCTGCTCGTCATGTTATTTATCAGTGCGGTCGGTGTGTCTCGTCAGTCTGATCCCAGTTTACCCCGGAGAGTCGGCGGCTCCCATCCGCACAGCCAAAGCAGAGCGCAGACATCAAGAGAGGCTCCGTATGCAGAGCCCCGAGCTTGCTGTGGCCCCCGACAAGGACCTGTCCCCTGCAGAGAAACGAGCTCTGGAGGCTGAGAAGAGAGCCATGTGGAGGGCAGCCCGGTAAATATGACAGCTTCACACACTGTAAAGACGACAAGACTTTTTGTCTATTGTTCTGACAAGAAGCAAAAAAAAGATGAAAAACAAACACAAAAAGCAATCTTGGTAATATCTAGCAGAGATTTATTTTTAACTTTTACTGAAATGACTAAAATGTTCTATTACAAATTTAGGAGTTTGTCTGTTGACGAAGCCTCTATTTATTCCATGGTGGTTTGTTTTAGAGCAGACTTTGAGCAACAGGTGACTGTACTCGTGGTATAAACGTCTAAAGGAGATGAACACATTGGCACACAACAGCACATTGATACAAGGATGATGATAGCATCCAGTGCAAAAGTACAAAGGATGAGATAGATTTTTGAGGTATCATGGTTTTTAATGAAACTTTACAAAATTTGTTGCATGTGTGCGAAATGTTCTGAGCCGTTTCAAACCAGCACGATCACATAAATCCTTACAAAGTTCAGCAGGCTCGTCAAGGTTCAGTTTTTTTTCCCAGAGGACCAAATACAAGTTCAGAGTAGATTATGTGTGGTGAAAACACAATCCTATGTGTGGTCAGTCTGTCTCTATCTCACTATGGTCATGTCTAAAAAAAGGTCTTATTTATTATTCCTGGCTCTCCTAATTGTGTCGGTGTTTTACCTTCCATTCTTTGGTTTTCTTCTCTTTTTCTGTCTGTGTGCGTTTCTTCCTCTTCTCCTTCATTTTCCTTCTTCATCCTGGTGTACTTTTCCTTCCACTCCGTCCTCTCTGTGGCCTTGTGGGGCCCAGGCCCTATGGCCTAGAGGAGGATGTTAGGCAGTATGAGCAGGACCTGGCTAAGAGGCTCTACCAGGCCCGAGTGAGGGCATCTCAGGGCACGGCCCCCCAGCCCCCCACTTCCTCCTCTACCTCCTCCTCTGCAGCCTCCCAGCTCAGGTCTGCTCCTCGGCCCGAGCCTCCAGGGCCAGACGCACGGCATCGTGGGCGTGTGCTAGGGTGCTTTGGTGTTTTGCTAGAGGCCGAATTCGGAAAGGTCCAAGCAAGCACTCGCAGCAACACTGACAGTGCTTCCACTGCCTTTCTGGTGCTGTCTTGCTTCTGCACGTCTTTGCCAATTCCATCTCTAGCTTCCTCCTGATTCCTGCCTCTCCTCTCTCCGTCTTGTCTTACCCCCCGCTCTGCAGCACTCATCTTCATTTGTGCCTTGCTGTTGTCTTTTACACCATTATTCGTACTAACACATGGCCCGCAGTAAGTTTGCAAGCTATCTGTGAGTTAAGGGTAAACCTACTAGCAGTAGGTAGTCCTTTTCCTGGAATGCCCCCCTTTTTAATGTGCTATGAAATAAAAAGGTTGTTTGTCACAGCAAACCAGGACAAGGAGCACCCACAATTAGTAGTGATCGGCCTACACCCACCCATTGAGGTGTATGCCTATCAGTTTTTGTCTCTTTATTTCTTTAACACTTCCTTAATTGTGTCACAACATTCATCAGATTGTGGTTGTCCCTCCTGTAGAATGAAGTCTCTGGAGCAGGATGCACTGAAAGCTCAGATGGTCATCGCCAAGTCTCGTGATGGGAAAAAACGTGGGACACTAGACCAGCTGACAGAGTCGCCCTCGCCTGCCCCAACGCCCTCTCCCACTCCTATGGAGGGTAAGAAACTGCTTCCTTGTCTAGAGCTAGATAAGAAGATTAATATCACACACGTAAATATGGAGCTTAGCACGATTTAGTACACAGACTGGAGCAGGGTAACAGCCTTCTAGCAGAAGATGAATAATTAACATGTTCTATCTTGCTTGTCTAATCAAGTACAAACCCAAGTGTAAAAACAACAATCTGTTCCTGCTCTTCATGCCTGCTTGAACACATTTTCTGTCTGTGTTCGACAGAGCTCAGTCCTCGAGGAGTAACCTCACCCGGCAGGCTGGTAAGCATTAAATCTCTTTCCCTCTTCCTAATTTCCTCACAGATTTGTTTTTCCACTTTGCTGTGTGTCTGGGCGAACACGCATCAGTGTCCTCCCTTTTGTACGAACTCGGAGAGCTCAAATTATCAAATATTTGAACAAAGCTACAACACTGACTTTGCAGTTTGATTGAGGGAGAGCGATTTTTAGAAAGAAAGTAAACAGGGTTGTTTGTTTACAAGCTGGGAAAGACAGAAGGTACATTTGCTTCAAAACGCATTAACATGAATCCACCATCTTGCTCATTGTCACTTTAGCCAATCAGAGCTGAGAACACACACTGCTCTCCCATCATACGCCACAGCTGGCTGTTGAAATCACCCATCAGCCTCTCTGCCTCCCACTCTCCCTTTTCCATTTTCCCTCTTACCCCTTTCCTTCTTTTCATTATTCCCTCTTCCACCATTTTCTCTTTTACTCTACTTTGTCCCAACTCCCTCCATTTTCTCTGTCCTTGTTTTCCTCTCTCCCGTCTCCCTCAACCTCTGCTCATTCCTATTTGCTATCCTTCTAGTCCCTGTCATCAAAGAAGTTTGACTACCGACAGTTTGCTGCCATTCCTTCTTCCAAACCCGTATACGACATCCAGGTATTGGCTGCATGCTGAGCTCCGGGGGCCTCCAGCCTCCTCCTTCCCTTCCCCCCTGGCTTTCCCTGCTGCCTCTCCCCTCTAGTCTCGCTGATAATCAAGAGGCATCAGTGTGACTGCAGTCTAGGTTGTGGCTCAGTGATTGATCAGCACTTCCTGCTCTGCACTATCAGCGATGTGGCTCACTAACTCTCACTTGCAACAACAATGACGAAGGCGGACTTTCACTCTAAAACAATGACACATCAAATCAACCTTCCTCCCTCTGCCTCACAAACGTAGGAGCATCTTCAGCAGTAACCATTCACACCCATCTGTCTCACAGCTGACTAATCAATCACAAACAATAACACTCACCAGCTGCACAGAACCAGACAGGCTTTTGATCCCACTAACCACAATTGGTTCCGGGGAAAAACGGCCACAAACTGCATCTCATCCACTCTCACATTCACTTCCATCGGCTGTCTTGTTCCACGCATGGGTCGCACATCGGGCGGAGGAATAACTTTAAGCGTTCCTCTCGTGCTCTGGCTTTTGAAACGCTCGTCTGCTACAGGGGACTTCTCTCTGCTCTCGTTAAGGTAATAGTTCGGTGTCGGTCTGTTTTGGAAAAGCTTATTTCCTCGTGCGTGGAGGAACAGATAGGAGGGGAAGCAGGGAAATCCCGGAGTCTTGCTGGAGCTGCAGTGGGCAGCGCTTGTTTGGAAGTGGTCTCTTTTTTCTGTCGTCTGTGACGGTGTCAGTCTGCGCTCCTGAGTGTGGGATATTTTCTTGTTTCCAGTTTGTTGCACAGTGGCCTCAGTTTGTTTGTATCCTCCCTTCGGTGGCTGTAATTTAATTGTCGCTGCTATATGTAAGTGTGTTTACACTGTGTTTACACTGTGTTTTGTCTTATTCCTGCACAAAACTAGTGCTTTAAGAACACCCTTCAATCTTTAATAGTCAGAGATATGTACAGTTAATAAATTAGTGGCAGTTTTAATTATTTCTTGTGTACATGGCGTCCGTGAACTGATCCCTTCCTACTACGGTCTAAGAAATAGGGGGCAAAATCCACAGTCGTCATTCTGTGTAAAAATGAAGCCTCAAATTCAGCTGACACTAATATGAGGCAGCAGCAGTCACAGCTAATCACTTCAGTACAGAACATCCTGGGTTCAACTCTCAGCTCAGCAGTGGTAGAAGGAAGTGAGGAGACATTTTGTACTAAAAAGACTGGATCTTTTGAAAATACCTACATTATTTATGTAAAAGCCTTGATTTTGGATAAAATGGACGCAGACATGAACAGTGAAATCTGTGTTTGGTGTCTGATTTAGCAAACCATGTTGGGTCCTCATAGACATACTTAAAAAAAGCCTCAGTTTTACTGAAGTCTGGAATCTTGTCAGACTGCTGAAGGTCATATTAGCTTTAGCTGAACTGAAGAACACACTGCTGTCAGCACGGACTGTGGATTTGCTCCCCATCACTTAAACTGAATCAAGGGAACCTTTCACGGCCAGTATTATGGTAATGAGCTGAAAAATGTCTAAACTACATTAAACATATTATGTCGATCAAATGGCTTCCAAGCATTGACACCAAATTAAAAACAAAATTTGCAGTGTGTCCATATAAAAGACGGACGGCTCAACATGCTGCTTGGTTTTCGGTTGTGTGCTGGTGATACTGGTGCTGTGCTGTTGCTCCGTTTGCTGTCTCTTTGTGGTTGTGACCATCCTACACAACAAACCCCGGAACTGATGACTTAACTTAACACCCCCCCTTTCCTTTAACATGCCAGTTTCTCCTGGGGGACTAGTTGAGTAGATGTACTCTGGCTTTTGTGGCTCTGACAGACTGGGAGCTTCAGTGCTGCCTGCTAAACCCGCAGTGAGCGGCTGGCCCGCTGCCTGACAGTCTCCTACGCTGCCACTACTCACATGGTGAAGGCTTCCCCTGGGGTACATGTTACTGAAACACCCCTGCTGCTCTGTTATTCACCTCCTCTTCTTTTTTTCCAGTCCCCTGACACAGCTGACGACCTACAGTACATCGATGATGGCTCCGGCAACCCAGGTATGTGCTGCTGCCTTTTTTTTTGGATTTCCAAGTGTATTAGAGCAGGCTTCACTAAAGGGCCAAGTCTGCGGACAGTCTGTGTATATTACCTCAACCTCTTCTATCCCCTTTGATTCAGGTGACTACCTGGGATAAGAGACTCCTATTGGTAGGATTCTGTGTGCATGTGTTTGTTGCTCTGTGTGTGTGGGGCTGAATATGTATGTGAGGAGAGTTTGTGTCTGGATGTGTGCTGGTTTGTACATTTACACGCTAACCTGCTAGTTGTGTGGAGTAGCTGTGGATTCAGGTATTAAGGTGGGTGTGTCTACCTGGGTATGCTTTGCCATTTGCTGCCCACCAGCTATGAAGCAGCTGCGGATGATAATACTGAAGTAGGATATTAAATGCTGAGCCCCCTAAAGGTCACGGCAAGAGAGGACTCCAATGCTTTACATTCCTACTGATCAATAACAGTTGGTTCAGTCTAGTTAGAACACACACTTTGGGAAAGACTTTGCAGATACTACAGAAAGAAGAGATGATGTGACGACTCTTAATGTGATTCATTTTATTTAGCTAATTATTCATGTTAAAAGCCTGATTTCAGACATAAACCAGCTGCTCTGCCTGTCTGACGGTTCAGTTTATTGTGCTATTGATCTGTTTAGCTGTTAATATTTCAAACTGTGATGCTTCTATGACAGCTAGTTTTATGAGATATATGAATATAATAGCTTTAACACAACATTTTAGCCTAAAGGTGCTGCTGGTTGTGACTATAGATTGTCAATTCACCCTCAGCTGTGTCTGTCAGGTACGATACTGCACTATTGCATTTAGAAGGAAAACTACAGGAGCTGGTTGAGCAGCTCTCTTACTGGCCCACTGCTGAGACTGCTCTGGGATGACACAGCTGCCACGCTGGCTTTAGCCTTTGTGACAATTATGGCTGTGACATATTAGTTTTTAATGGTTGACTACACGCAGTGGTAGCTTGCTAGCTGAGCTGTTATATTCTTGAACTCCTAAATAAGTAATCGGTTAGTAACAGCTGGACACAGCACCACAGCAGCTGAAGTCCAAACAATAACCACAGTTTCACCGTCACAGGCAGGCAGAGCAGCTGCAGCTGTACTCACAACCAGCAGATACTGGATACTGGCTGAGATCGGCCTTTTAAAAAGAATTATGAGCAATAAATGTATTAAGTGTCATAACATCTCTCCTTTCCGTAGTGTTTCTCTAAACTGGTTGTATGTTACAACTGGACTGAACCAATGGCCTTAATTTTTATATGGATCAGATGGAATATAAAGTCTATTGTGAGGCTATAAGTACTAAATAATTCTCACCATGACCCTTGCAGGGCTTTAATAACATGCCAGCTCACCTTGGGGAGAAAAAAATCATATGAAACTCTTATTACCTTCACCTTGCAAAACCCTGCAGCTCTACTCTAGTTAGTATTTGGCGTCGAGCTCACCCGTCTTACTTTGCCCCTGGATTGTGTTGAAATTTGTACTGAACAAATTTTAATACATTTTGTGATCTGTGTTCCCTGTAATATGCCTTACGTTCCCTCTGATCCACATGTCCAACAGTTGACGTGTTGTCCAGTCCAGCTATAACACACTGCCCCTTTAGGGAAATACAGTTACTACACCAAGGAGAGACGCTGTGACACTTCATGAATTATTCATTCATTTTAAAATGCAACTATATATGCTGCTATAGTTTCACCGGCACAGCCAGGCAGAGCAGCTGCAGCTTGATACTGTCAAAAATGGCCTTTTAAAATGAAAAACTGACCTTAAATGTACTGTAAAAAGGGTCATATCATCTCTCCTTTCCTTATTGTCTGTGGAGTGTTTCCCTAAAATGCCAGTGTGTTATAACTGGACTGGACATCACACGTACTGTTCATGTCAATCAGAATAAACGTAAAGCATATTGTGATGAAACACAAAAGTAGTCCTCCAAAGACTCCTGCCATGACCCTTGGGAGGGCCCTGTATTGTGACTATGATGCTAACAGTGCATGGATTTGTTTGTGCGGAGCTCTAAATGATTCAGTTATCAGTCAGTGTTTACATGCCCAAAACAGAGCCCATGCCACTCAGGCAAACCATGATTATGCAGGACAGTGGGCTTACATGCTCTGCAGTTTGCTTCTTTAATCTGTGTACACGTGCAGCAAGTTGAATCAAAAGTCTCACTAGTTTTACTGATTTTAACAGTTTCACTGATGCAACATGCTGCTTGCTAATTTAGGTATTTATTGCTCTCGTCCACCTGCTCAGCTGGCACAGCGATACTTTGGCTGAGGTCTTTGTCTTGCACATGCACACATGGAAAAACACAATTAGAGACCTGGTAGAACATGAATAAAACATATGCTGTTTTTAATGACTAATAAATTACCTTTCTGGAGAAGCCGACCATAACCTGGTCAAGTGCATGCATAGACTGAGTGAGAAGATTTTAAAAGGCATTTCTTGTTGGTTCTCAAAGTCACTTCAGCAGCATCAACTGTGCTTAGAGTTTGAGCACAGAATCCACAGAGGTTTAAACATGCACTCACCGGGCGCTTCAGTTTTCTGCTCACCAGTCTTATTCTGGCTTGTTTCCAGCTGCTGCTCTGAATGTGGGGCGTCTCTCGCAGGTTTAAGGGATTCAGCCACCTTTTCATCAAATGCTTCACAGGAATATTCTGTCCTTTTGTCTTGATCTTTTTTTTCCTCTCCACAGCTGACAGCGGTTGTCACGTGGGAAGAATATGTATTGCCGGAGCCCAGATGCGTCATTGTGACATATGGTCTGTCTGCGTTGCTGTTTTCTAGGGCCCACTGCGAGTGCTGAGGTTGAGGTCCCCACCCCGCTGCCTGCCACCTCTGCCCTGGAGGAGATGGCCCTGTACAGCAACAAGCGTAAACTGAGGCAGGGCCGCCGCAGCCTGGAAACCGCTGTGCCCACGTAACACCAAAATATACACACATTTACATTCACTGTGGAACACTGGTAAACATATTGGTGCATCCACAGGAGGTGCAGATTCACTAAACACTACACACAGTGTCAGTAGAGCGAGATTTACTCTCACATATATAACCACTGCAGAGACTATGATGCTAATAGTCGCCACACATAGACACTCACTTATATCCTGCGTGCCAGTCTTGCCTTTACAGTCTGTGGGTGAGTTGGCAAGTTGTCCCTCAGGGGGCCAGAAAGAGCGAGTGTGGTTAGCTAGGATTGCTACTTACAGACCATTCTTCCTTTTTTTGTTCAACATTCGGTTTGCCTACTAGAATCTGATCTATTTTAACTTGAGGTGATCGAAGTTTTTAGGGTTTTTTTTTTTTTGTTGTTGTTGTTTCGTTTTGTTTTTTTAAAATTTCTGCGCCTTCAGTGATTTTGCTGTTTAGAAAAAAACATACTGGAAGAGAAAAGAAATGGGTCATAGCTATACTAACTTCTTGAATGATACTTCTAGGCTTTCAGTGATTCGACTGTAAAATGTCTTATGTTTCTTGAGACTTGGGCGGACAGGTGTGTGTATATATTAATTGAAGAGGGAACATCCTGCTACCTTCATAGTCACAAATTGTGGAAAGCTTTTAAAAAAAATTAGTACATATCATTTTTGCACTGCCATTGATCAGCTTTTTAAGAACGTATATCTTAACTAATTTATTGTTTTTACTGTTTTACTCAAATGGAAGGCCTTTTTTATTTTAGTTTTAACCCATTCAGTCCTTCTAGTTTCAAGAGGACGACTGAGGCGTATCAATTTATCCTTAAAGACATTTTTCAATACAGTTATGAGTCAGAAAGTAAAAGCTTTTCAACTAATTATCTGCATATCACTTTATTTTATTTAATCTACTTTATATACATTTTTTTTACTAGGGATTTTGAAGCAAGCACATCTATTAATTAGATTGCTCTGACGAAGCCTAGTTGTTGCACATTGGTTTCATAACAGTAGGGTCATAACAAAATGCTTGTTTTTCTCGTCTCAGCAGACTTTAAAGGAGCCTCTGTCCAGATTTATTAGCTGTGTTACATTCCCCTGTAGAGTTTGACTACACTGGAGGCAGCTGCGTTGAGCAGGCTGAGAATATTAATGTTTGGGAACATGCATTTTAGCATCATTTATTCATTAATGGTACTTACACCCTGACCTGTTTAGGCTATTGTTTTGTTTTGTTTTTAAATCAATGTGAATCATTCATTTCTATCCTTGCATTATCAGGAGGTATGCCACAGTGATGTGAAGGTAGCAGGTGTTTTATTTTTCTGTCTATGGTTAATTTAAATCTGATGCCACTGAAAATCATTTATTGTGTGAATAATGTACAAATACTGAAAGGAAAACAAATTTTGGGTTTGAAACTGAGCCAGTCTTGACCCAGACAAAACAATTGTCTAGACTGCTGATGCATCTGGGTTTGGACAGGCTTGGTGCTGGGATGCTCTTTGCATGTATATTGGTTTGTTAATGGGAGAGCCGCGAGAGGCACAAGCAATTAGGAATTCCTCTCAAGACATTGATCTCATTCAGCTCACAGCTTGACACACTGTCAGTTTATGTATCTGACGGGTATTTCTGCAGAATCACAGCATCGTAGCATTTGTGTTAATTTAATGTAGGGTCTTCTAATGATAGCTTTCCATGTTGCTCTCACTGACTGAAATTCAGTTTGATAACATTTGCAATGGCTGAGATCTTTTTATTTTTTAACTTTCAGTAGGTAAATCTTTTTTTCAGTTGGGTTTCACTACATTATTGATGCAGTGTTTCAAGTTTCTGTGTTTTTTTTTCTTTTGTCTTGAGTTCTCTTTGGGGGCTTTTACTTGCAAATAGGTTGGAGGGAAAGGGTCAGAAGTCCTAGGGTCAAGGGTTATAGCTCATACAAGACTGTAACTAGTGAATTTGTACAACCAAAGAAGTCTATTTTGTGGTTCAGGAATAATAAATTTTACTTTTCATTTAAGAAGCTGATTCACTGTGTCGTGTCTTTTTTGCTTGATCAATGTACAAAGTTTGTACAAACTAAAATGCACAGACCAACTGTACACACAAAAAGCAAAGTAAATTCAGCAGCTTGGTGGACAGTGGAAAACCACAAATCACACTTCTTCACCTCATTCAGCACTTATGGATGTCATGAACTCAAATTTGTACATAAACCTCATTTTACTTTGGGAGAAACGAGGAGGAGGTCTTCCTCGTCCTGCAGATTTGTTCCTGTGCACTGGGGTAGAAGAAAACACAGCCCTCTGCTGTTCTTCTGCAGACACATACCAACGTTTTAATTGTTGGCACATCTACTTAACTCCAGTCTTCCTGGCAATAGATGAGCCAACCACTGATTAGCTTTCCGATAATTACTGTGCTATCCGGCAAGATAAACAGTTGTTCAATAGATCTGTAGCAACAGGAACAATACCTGTTTGAGTGTCCTGTAGCGAGCTTTGTAGAAGGATTTGAGCTGTCAACCAGAAGCTAACGCCTTGGACTGTCCTCTTTTTAACAAATCATTACTACAAACTTTTCTAGTTAATGTCCAATATGCTTCCTTTCTTTGGGCTTTTATTCAAAACATGCTAGAAAATGAAAAAACTCTTTGCATAAATGAAGCCCACAGCTACGCTTTCCACCATGTACTGTAAAGTTTATTCCAATGTCTGCTCAATACAAAACTATGCAGAAGCATTTTTTTTGCATCTTTGCTAGGTGGTAATAAGTATAAATATTTTGTCCACTGACTATGAGACAAATTCACTTGTGCACAGTTCTTCTCCATAGTTGGGTCCAGCTCCTCTTAAGGCAACAGGACAGACTGCTCATACCAGGTCTCAAATTCTGGGACACAGAAAACCTAAGTTAGAGCATCTTCAATTGTTTTAACAAATAAAATGTTTGCTGTTCAGGAAGGTAGAGGCTACTAAAGAGAACTGACCAGAAAGCAGGCGCACTTTACACTGATCCACGAGGTGTTGGCAGTAGTAGACTTCTGCCTTGAGGTCACACAGCGCCTCATATCTCCGCCGGTACTGTGCTTGAAGTTCTCTAAGATGCACCAATAAAGAGGCATCTGGCTCCTGCAGCGTTGGGCCCCCGGTCATAACCAAACACTGACCTTAATCCAAATACACACAAAGAAAAGATGTATTGACTTCATTATCACATCTTGGCAGGCCCTTCAATCCAAGCTCACTTTGCACAGTGTTTCCAAAGCCTGTGCAAAACATTTCGTGATCACACTTAATGGCACCAGGTACTTGGCACTCATGCTGATACAAACATTTTACATGAAATGTACCTTGGCCTCCTCTAATCTCCTCGTACTGCTGTAAGGTGGCTGTGGTGCAGTCGATCTCTTTCTTGACAGCATTGACCTCTTCAGTGAGCTGTTGAAGAAGACTGCGGCGTTGCAGCAGAACAGCCTTGTTCTCCTTAAAAATAAGGCTGATCTTGCTGCCTTGTCCCACCTTGAAATCCTCAAATGCCTCTGCTTTAGTTGGAGGAGGCCTGGGAAGAGGCAGCAAATTTCTGAGTGCTAATTTTTATTTAGGATTTTTTTTTTAGATTTTTGACACCTGCTTTTTTTGTTCCCACTGGCTTCAGTCTAAAATGCTCGCTTACCTCTGTGTGTCACTGGATGTCTTAGTTTTGTCTTTGGTTGAACTTGGATGATGAGTCAGTTTCTGTGACGGAGCAGATGCCAACAAGCTGCCAGCGTCCACATCCTCAGGAATACTTCTGCTATCTCGTTCCTGAGAAGTTAGTGTAACTTCCAAAGTTTAGTCTCAATGAACTCATGGTGAACTAGGCAGTTAATGGTACAACACACTTACAGAATTTAAACTGCTAATTTCCAAGTTCAAAGAAAATGACTGACCTCAATAGCCGCTGCACCACCACTTTGGTCTTTCTTCACCAAGTTGTAGGTTTGGCATAGCTGAGCCTTCACCTTCTGCTCCTGCTCCCTGCTCAAACACAGACCAAAACAATCCAAATCATATTCAGTTTACGAATAATGAACAGTATACAATAATAAAAATACGTTGTCTTAAAACACACAGTATTGAGAAGTTGCAGATTTTAAAAGGTGGAGGATACTCACCGCACAGCAAGCTTGAATTGGGCAAACACTGCTTGAACCTGCTTGACACTCGTCACCTGTAATTAGATGTAGCGCAGAGAAAAATTCAAAGCCGAAGATGGGAATGTCAGAGAATGTATTAATAGTTGTGTTGTTCGTTATGTTCTCACACTGATTTCCTCCAGGCTTCCCTCAAGGTACCTCTGAACCTGGCTCTGGATCTCAGCCAGCTGGGCTCCAGACAACGGTTCGTATGTGATGCTCGGTCGCTTTTCCTGGTGAAAGATGATGAACAAGCACTTAGATATTAATATGAACCAACTGAAATGTGCTTCTAATTTGTAAACATAAACATCCCAGCGCACCAGCTAATACAGAATTTTATTTCGTTTTCTGATTTTGTCATACAAGCTTTAAAGTTGGCACACAATTGCGAATAAATGATGGAAGAAGAGCAACACCTTAAATCCATGCAAATTAATAAAGTACAATGACACGTGCCGTCTCACCATGTTCCTGTCGGCTCTATTCAACGGTATATTGTAGATGGACAGTTCGTCTTTCAGCATCTGTACTTCCTTTTGAAGTTTCTTGATCTGAACCTAATCTCAACATAATTGTGTTGTGATGACTGACACACACAGAGTACAGCACAATACAGGTTGCAAACACAATCGATACATATCTGTGCACATGTAAAACCTCCATGAGTAGTTTTGAGATATAAACTCATGTGTTGCCAACTTACTGCTGGATCCATGTGTTCATTGACAGCGGGGTTCGTCTGGACACACTTCATTCTGCTGGCAAAACGCAGCGTAGAGAGCTGTAAAGAATAATAATTATCAGCCAGAGCACAACGGACATCAACAAAGGCAACTTCTTTCTGTTTAAATTTTTTATTCTACTCCTAACCGTTTCTTCTATCTGTGCAGCTTCACCATAGATGTTGGCCACAAGCACAGTGTTGCAGTTTCCTCCTACAGAAACAAACACATGGTAATATAACGAGTATTACGACACAGCAGCTGGCCACTTGGATGACCACATTTCAAGTGTCAGCACTGTTAAAAACCAAGAGCGCCACAGTCTTACCTAGTGAGTCTTTGAGGGCATGTGTGAGTTTAGTTTGTCTGAAGGGTATGTGGTCTCTGCGGTGGTTTGCTAGAGCCAGAATGGCCTGCTCCAGGAATGACAAAGACTTATTGATGTACATGGCTTCCTTTAACATCTGACCCTGGGACTGGAAGAACAGCAATGTGACACAACGTGTGGAAAAAGGTTAAGTGACATGACGATCATCTTATCGCACTTTGGATGTTAAAAAAAAAAAAATCTTTTGGTTGGTAAAGTAAAGTCCTATTCTCAAACTCACCCCAGTCTTTGCCAGCCTCTCAGACCCAGCCAAGTCCACCAGATTCAGCTTGGAGGTCATATATTTGGCACCAGACAAAGTCTGTGAGCGAGACTGTGAGAGACAAAAACATGTTCACCTATTTCTATTTTGGTGGCTGTTCACCAAGACTACAGTAAAACTGAATAGTAACCACAGAAAACACTGGTTTAATACCTCAATATGCACAGTTAGGATACAATGTGACCTGGAGGATCTCCTGTTCAGGCTATGAGATCCAACAATGCGATTCATCTCACCCTGAGTAAAGAAAGAAAAGCTTTAGGAATATTTCACGTTCCATTTGTAAAAATCTACAAACATTTTGAACGTAATGTTCAAAATCTCATATATACAATCTTTAAACTACTCCTTCACGCTGGACAGAATTGTATGGGTGTAAGTCTCCTACTACTCACTTCAAACAATAGGTCGAGAGCCTCCTCCTCGCAGTGAACATGGTGACGAGACAGACCTCTGATGACCACCCCTCTGCGCGGCTCCTCCATCACCGCCATGCCCCGAGGAGACGGGTGGGGTGAGTCCTGCAGCGATGACAGCAGGTCCACCAGGGTCTCATTGTAAATCTCCAGGTAGGATAGGTGGACTGAGAAGGTGAGCTCAGTTCTCCTCTTCATCTTTTGAAACACCTGAAAATCACATTAAATGCAAAGTCCACTTATGTATCCTTCACATTCATAACTTTCTGAGTCATCCTTTCTCTGAAGGTCGGCATTTTCCTACCTCCTGAAGCACCCGAGGAATGATGCCTCTCTGCTTATACGACTCCCTAGATCCTGTCATGGTGTAGGTTTTTCCTGAACCTGTCTGCCCAAAACACATCACTGTACCTGGCAGATACACAAAATAGACTTTCAACATAAAACTCTTCACAAATGTCTTTGATTAAAGCATCATTTAGAAAGTCATCTGCCAACCTATTTACCGTTATAGCCATCCAGTGCTCCCAGTAGCACTGGTTTGCACACTCGGGTGTACACCTCTTCCTGGGACGCATTCTGCAAGACCCCTTCTAGCCGAAAAGACCAGGAGCTCAACTGACCTTTCCTGGATTCAAGGACCCTCCTGGAGTCTTTACTTTGATAGATGTTTACTGTCTGAGGGACAACACACAAACAGAATGTATGAGTGTACAAGTACCAAAACTAACAAAAACTAGCCTTCACAAGTCGATTACATGCTTGACCATAAAGTGCGAGGAGATGTCAAATTGTCACAATATCCCAGAACCTTTGTTAAAATTGAAACCATCTTAGAAAAGTTGAAACCACTCATTCTGCCCAATTAACAGGTCAAACACTTGTGAGAAATCTGTGGCCCAAGAAAAAAACAAACAGCAAAACTGAATATTTTCCGATTTCTTTTCACCTCTATGAGAATAAACTGAATGTCTTGGGGCTGTGGACAAAGCAAGACACTTGAAGACATCATTTGGGGCTTTGGTAAACATGGACCAACATGTTTTTGTTTGTTTTTTTTTTTTACTATTTTCTGAGACTTTAGAGACCAAAGATCTAGTCAGTTAACCGAGAAAACAATTGACAGATTAGTCTACAATGTTAATCATTTTTAGTTGCACCCCCCTGACTAACACTCTGACAAGCTACAGGAGGAACTACATGGATGTAAATAATCATCATTGATGCCTCCGTTGTATTTAATCATCCCTGACAGTTACTGCAGTGTGCAAGAATACATAAAATGATGCCCCCTGGAACTGAACAACTTGGTAGGTTATAGCATTCTGTCTCAAATCATCAATTTTTTAAAACAATTTCTGCTTGACTAGCTCACATTTGCCTGAAATTTACAAAACATAAAACATCTATAAAGATAAATGTGATATTTTGGCCTGATATATCAAATATTTTCCAAGATCTTTAAATTGCCCCAAAAAACGTGCTGAAAGTGCGTCAAAGTATTTGATATACCAAGTTAAAAATTTCACAGATATCATTTTTAGTAACTATAGTTTATGATAAAAACAGTTTAAAGCAAATCAGAGATGGTGGAGCTTCCTGATGAGTTGAGATGGAATAACCCTGGTGGAAGTTATTACACCTCTGCTTCTCCTGCCATGGCCACGATAATGTCTTGGACTTATCCAAATGGTTTTAGTGATTTAAGTAACAACATGGAGGTTAAAACTTGGACAAACTCAGAACTAATCTTCCTTTTAACATCTTCCAACCGACTGCTATTCATTTTATCTCACACTCACGTGACGTTAGAGTTTGAAACGCTACCCAGCTTATCGTGCTTATAACTTATAGTGTGATTCATGTTCATTCTAACGGTACCAAAAGGGAGATTTAGCTACCTGTCCGTCAGGAAGACATTCAATGAGGTCTTGGGCCAAGTTTTCAGTCGGTCTGATCCGGACAAAGACCTGTACCTCCCTGCTGTGACCGTTCATACCGCCTCACTGAACCACGGCAGCCGTCAGAAACTAACAGTTGAAACTGTATAAATATAAAAACGAAGTCGGCTGGAAATGAAAGAGGTTTCTCGGAGAAAAGCAGTCATTTAAGGACAAGTCCTGGGTAAAGTTTGTCAGCTTCAGTCCGCCTCGGTTCTGTCAACGCTCTCTGGTTTCTAGGCAGCGCCATGGCAACGGGCGCGCGTTCACAGAGGCAAGGTGGTAAAGCGCGACCCCGCTACCTGTTCGTTCCATTCGATGAAGTCGCTGCTTCTGTAAGGATTAAACAACGAGGGGCCGTGCATTATACGGTTTGAATGCACGCAGCGGAGTCTAAAACCGTATAATGCACGGCTCCGAGTTGTTTAATGCCATGGTCCCACACAGCGAGCAAACACACAAAATGTTTATTTAATTAATAGAACTTGCTAAGAATGCCGAAGTTTTTTGGGACTACTTTATGCAAATAACGCACGCCAGTTAGTCATAGAATTCTCGCTGACCATGGTATAAATCTTTATGTCGTTTCTTTTGCTGTTTTTCTCCTTTGCGCTCCTCCTCTTCCCATTCTTCAAACGTTTTGTTTCGGCCAAATATATTAAAATTAACCTCGAAATCCATGTTTTATCGCGTTTCTCTCATTCACATGTCAGGACACAGCTGATCTGCGCGTTGCTATGGTGACGCCCAGAGCGGCGTGATATCATACCAGTGATCTAACTCGCCGAACTACGTGTGCGTATACACGAAAATAATGCACGCCAGTTAGCGGTAGAATTCTCACTGACCATGGTATAATGGGCAATAATCAAAGAATTTAAACAGAAAAAAAAAATCACATGTGTTCTCTAATGTTATGTTAGAGTCAGAGAAATATTTGAGAATATAGCCGATCTTATTTATAAGTACTTTGTATTGCTCAAAGTGGCTTGCGAGGGTAGATTATCACCTGGGGGTTCTTTTTCTTTTTTTCCCCACAAATTCTGATTTTGATTTGAATCTTCATCCTTCATAAGCTTTGACCGTATGATTGACATAATATGACTGAACAAGCCTGATTTTGAACCTTTAACCCTTCCTTTTCCTCCACAACCCAGGTAAGATGTCCCTTTTCAAAATGTCACCTTTAGTTTTTAGAATAACAAAGCTGCAGTCCGATATGATTGATTTTTTTTTTATATACTAAATTTGTTCACTTAAGCATACTTCTTGTGAATATATCATATTGACAACAAAAACATCTATATTTTAAAAGCGAATCAACATTGTTCTTGAGGGGGCGCCTTCCCCGGTTTATACACATGTCTGACTTTAAGAGAACGTCAACAAAATCCTGAAAAAAGGAAAAAAAGGAAGAAAAAAAAAACTTGTTGGAATTGGACTTTGATAATAATGTACAAGTGAAGCACAGACCTCAAACTCCACCTACTGACACAGACACTACAAAGCAGATCTCTGAGCAAACAGGCGGACAATTCATTTTCAAGATGAGAGGGCTTACACTACTCGTTTTGCTTGGAATTTGTCTGGGAGCAACAGCAGTGTCATCTACAGTTAGCATAAACACGGTAAAGGAAAGGAAATAAGTTCACGTGAATAAGAATATCGACTGCTACTGTTCTCTGGTTATTAATTTGTTGTATTTCTTAGTTCAATTTGACCTTAAATTACAAAAATGAATTACTCTGATTCAATATATATATTGACAAAGTTTAACTTATTACACCTTAAGTCATCCAGTTACTTTGGCAATTCTACAGCATTGTTAACCTTTAAACTAAATGTCAAAGACAGAAATTAAAACCACATAAAGTAATGTATAAAAATATTTCAGGCCTATTAGGTTGGTAGAATTTAAAGTTTTCAAGTCGTGGAATTTTGGAAAACAAATATTTCACCTTTGAACATCCATTACTATACACAAACTGTGATCAATGTTGGTTTTGGTGCAGAAATTGAAATTATTTTTAGTTATAAAATGTTCTGTCAATCATGTGCTTAAATCCTTGAGTTATTTTAGCTTTAAATCAAAATCTGTAATTAATAAATAAATCCATACATAAAAATATTTTAAAATTTTTTAAAAATCTAACTACTGAAATCACCTTCTTTAAATTCAGACAGATGATTTTCCTGAGGAAACAAATCAATGCATGACTTTCACCCATTATGTGTTAAATCAGCAAAACATATGCATTTAGTTTTAAATTTTACAGCCTTACTTCATTGTCATTTTAATACTATTCTGACGTCAACAAGCAAACTAACATTTTAAAGAATTATTTAATAAAAAAAGAAAAATCAATATAAGTCTACAGCATCAGTAATGATGTTACATTTATTGATAATTTAATTGATTTATTTGAAATAACCGTTACAAGACTTGATGAATACTGGACACTAAACAAACACTGTAATGCCTTTGGACTAAGTTAAACAATATTTAAATTCAATTTTCAGGACGACTCAGGCATTATATTCCCGACGGATGGCGATGGCTTTAACAGTACAACCAACTCATCAATGGTATGTACTGCAGTCTTTGTTTGACAAAGGAATTTTGTGTGTGCCGAATGTTGTTGAATAGGTAATGGACAAGACTTCTGAGTAGGATGAATGTTTTTGTTTTCTTTTGTTTTTTTTTTTTTTTTTTACAATATTTAAGAGCTTCACACTGCACCAGTGGTAGGAAAGTTTGAATTGAAAATGTAGTGTATGCATGAAGAGTGCCGCTGACAAACTTCACTTTGTCCAGTTGTGTCCTTGTATCACAAAATCACAACGGTTTTCTCAGGTTGTGCATTATTTCTGTGATGCTTTAAATGTTGCTTTAACTTTACATGCTTGAGACTTCACAATGGTGACATGCATTTTATTTTTAAGACAAACCATGTACTGTTATAGTTGCTGTTGCTCACTGCTTTTATTGTCTTACTCTATAACTTTCTAGGGCTATTAGGCTAACAGGCATTCTGGGTCCATTTTCAGTCATTGCAATTCTTGCAACGGAAGTGTCTGTATATGTTTCCTGAGGTGTGCTAAGTCAAAGGCAGCCTACAGTAGCTACTCATGCATTTAATGTAATATTGCAGCTTTATTTGAAGTCCAAAGTCGACGACCTTGCAGGAACAAACAAACACACCATTAAAAAAACATTCAATAAGGGTACATGTATGTGTGTTCTTACTAAAGTGCAATGTCCTTTTCTTTTAGGTGAAAAACAAAACCAGAGAAATTGAGTATGTACAGGTAGGTACACCTGAGTATCATAAAGGGCAGTAATGATTAATGTATGATGGAGTTTTCTGGTAACATAAGTCTAAAATTCTAAATATTACAGATTTTCTTTGCTTACAGACAGATTGAGTTTTTTATTTTGATACTATTCCAACATAAAACAAGTAACTGAAATTTGAAATCCAATGTTAATGGATTTGACAAATGGATAGTATATTTGACAAGGTAGGCGCAGTGGCTCAACGCAAAGTGCACACTGTAACATCCTCAAACCAGGTTGTTTTGTTTTTTTAAATTTAATTTAAATCGGCAAGCAGGAGTTACAAGCCCAGTTGGAAAATTAGAAGGTGTGACAAGAGAACGATATCTTTGTTTAAGAAAGTCATTTCACAACTTTAGATTGCAACATTTTTGGCGATGGTGGAAAATTTGGCTTTTGTTTTTAGATGAAACTTGCTTTCCAATCCAAGCGAAAGATTCGGTGAAGGCTGCTGCAGAGGAGCAAAAGAATTTGTTTAGCTAAGTAGTTCAAAGTCAACGACCTTGCAGGATTAAGCAAACATACTGTGGCAAAAATTGGTCCAGGGTAAATATGTGTATATTTTCCTAATAAAGTGCAATGCCCTCTTATTTTATGTTCCAGAGCAAAGGACACAAATTGAGCACATAGCGCTAGATACTCTAACTTTCATAAAGTAAAGCAATGAATAACAAATGGTGAAGAGGTAAGAAACTGTTCAAGACTTAAGGACAACAAAATACAAAGATAGGTGAGACAAAAAAATGTTAACACCAAAGAGTGAGAATGGGAATTTATCAAAATGTTGATAACTATCTTTCAGGAGCAGTGGAATGGTACCTTGCTGCCAATCGAAAATTCTGTTGGGTTTGGTCCACCATCAGAAGAAGAAGTTGACACAAAGGTAGGAAATTGTTCCAAGTCTTAAAGACAACAAAATACAAAGGTAGCACCCTCAAATGTTTGTCACTTAATTTCAGCCAATCTGAAAAACTATCTTTGTGAATGTGTCTCATCAGAATGTGTGACAATTAACTAAAATTCTTTCTTTTAATTTCAATATTACTCATCATCCAGGGAAATACAGGCAACTGAAACCGACACAGTGTGGGTTCAACTCAACAGATGCAAACACATATAGAGTCCTAACTGGGGGGACGGCCGTCAGAATGAGGAACCAGCATGGGAGATATTCATCTTGCTACTTCTCATTAAACATGTCATTAAAAACTATAGTGTGACATTTTTCTTTCATTTGATAAGTTGGCTGGTATGGACTCATGTCAAAGAGGTGTGTTCAGTTTAAATATTTAATTTCACCAGAATAACACCAAGTCTGACCGAGAAAAAAGCAAAAAAAAATCTCTATCCTCCACATTGCTCCACACGAGTAACATATGCTGAAAATGACAATGGCTTATAGGAAATTACTGAGCATTTGGCAATTTAAGCTTCAACAGGGGAAAAAAATGGGCTTGGTTCTGAATGCAGATAATCCATTGCTGGTTTTGGTGTTTGTGGAATTAGTTAACAGTCAACAAATCATTAAAAAAAATTATCCTTATGCTTTGGAGAATGAATGACACTAATGGAAAGGACAGTTGGTAGCAAGCCGTTCGATTCCAACAATATAATTAACATCCCTGCCGAAATATAACATTCAAAAAAAGTGCAAAACATCTTTAACTGAGCATGAAATCAATACATGATATCATTCATAGGGATCATTTCATTTTTGTGT